TCACACTGCTGCTCATTGGCTTGATGGTATCCGAGGTGAGTTGACAATTTCAGTCGATTTTTTTTTTAAATTTTTCATGTTTGATACTTTTCGTGGACAATTTGTGATAATTTTTTCTGAAATAATTTAAAGAATAAAAAGTGTCCTTTTTTCAAGTTCTTCAATTGAAAAAATTCTTCTATTCCAAAAAAATGTCAACCGGAAACTTTTATTCTATTAAAAACAGTTGAAAACTATTAACAATACATAATGTATTAATCTCATCCGTTGTTCCCATTCCAAATGTATCACTTTGATTCTATTTCCACAGTTCTTAATCGGGGATGTGAGCGGAGCACCACCCAGGAACGGTAAGATTGAAGTTTCATTTATTTATCCAGTTTAACTCTTAAATTCCATATACAAAGCACCTTGTAACGAAGATATGGGAACCTCATTTATGCTAAACTTTTCTTATTTATTATAAACTTTCTTATTATTATTATTATTATTATACATATTTTAGTAAACGAACAAGACACAAAGGGAATGACAGCTCTGCATAGAGCTGCTATGGCTGGTAATTTTGGACATTTTTTTTTGTGAAAAAGAATGTTTTGTTCAATCCATTTCATTGATCTATGAATATTTTTCATATTCTTTCAGGCAAAGTGAAGGAAGCTGAAGACCTCATCGCTGCAGGAGCCGACCCTAATATTGAAGATAAATTAAATAAGACACCTCTTCATTATGCTTCTGGGAATGGTAATGTTGAATACTTGTTTTCATTAAATAAAAGATTGATTTGACCTTTTCCATCGGTCTGAATTATTTTTCAGGTCATAAGAGCGTCACTGAAGTTCTCAGCCATAAAGCAAACGATCTTAATATTAAAGATTATTTGCATGACACACCTCTTCATTTGGCAGCTATGTATGGTAAGGTTGACTAAATAAGATATCCCGACGATCTCTTCATTGATCCGTATTATTTTAGGTCACGAAGGTGTCGCTGATGTACTTCTCAAGAATGGAGCTAACGCTGATATTGGAGATGATGTGAATAACACAGCTCTTCATTTAGCTGCATTAAATGGTAATGTTGAATGCTTGTTCTTATTAAAGAAACGATTGATGTGATCTCTTTCATCCGATTTTTTTTTCCAGGTCACAAAAATGTCGCCGAGGTTCTCCTCAACAAAGGCGCCAATATGGATGTCATGACTATTTTTAAAAATACACCTCTTCATTTAGCTGCATTAAATGGTAATGTTAAATGCTTGTTCTTATTAAAGAAACGATTGATTTGATCTCTTTCATCGATCTGATTTTTGTTCCAGGTCACAAAAATGTCGCCGAGGTTCTCCTCAACAGAGGCGCCAGTATGGATATCATGAATGACATTAATCACACACCTCTTCATGTGGCAGCTGTGGAAGGTAAGGTTGACTAAATAAGATATCCCGCCGATCTCTTCATTGATCCGTATTATTTTAGGTCACGAAGGTGTCGCTGATGTACTTCTCAAGAATGGAGCTAACGTTAATAAGGTAGATCATTTGAATGCCACAGCTCTTCATTTAGCTGCATTAAATGGTAATGTTGAATGCTTGTTCTTATTAAAGAAACGATTGATTTGATCTCTTTCATCCGATTTTTTTTTCCAGGTCACGAAAATGTCGCCGAGGTTCTCCTCAACAAAGGCGCCAATATGAATGTCATGACTATTTTTAAAAATACACCTCTTCATTTAGCTGCATTAAATGGTAATGTTAAATGCTTGTTCTTATTAAAGAAACGATTGATTTGATCTCTTTCATCGATCTAAATTATTTCTAGGTCACAAGGATGTTGCTGAACTTCTCATCAAAAAAGGAGCCAATGTTGATATTAGAAATCGTGAGGATCTAACACCTCATCAGTTAGCTCTTGCCCATGGTACTGCTGACTAAATTTAATACCGCTTTGATCTTTTTCATTGATCTGTATTATTTTTCAGGTCACGATAATGTCGCCGAACTTTTCGGTAAAGGAAACCGAAGATAAATTGGAATAGATTCAATATGCTGCTAACAATGTAGTGTTGGTCTTCGAACATATTCGAACACTTGTTCGACCGTTCGTAAACATAAAAAGAAACTGTTTTGTTCGTTCGGAAAGTTGAAAAAAAATTATTTTGTTCGTTCGTGAAATTGAAAAAAAAATATTTTGTTCGTTCGTTCGTTCGAAAATGTTTTGTTCGTTGTTAGGTCCGAACAAAGTTTTTTTTTTTCATACAAAATTTGATGTTGTTCGGACCGAACAACGAACAAAACATTTTCGAACGAACGAACGAACGAAGAAAAAAATTATTTTTCAATTTTACGAACGAACGAACGGACGTTCGAAGCCAACACTACAACAATGGTAATATTGAATATTTTACTTTTCCGTACACTTTGTTAAGGGAATTGAAATGGAAAGATTTTCTCAATCTACGATTAAATCTATATATATAAAACTGAATGTTCGTCTGTGTGTGTGTGTATGTAGCCAGTTATCTCTCCTTTTTTATTCATGGTTCTAATGTTATGCAAGCCGTTTGATTTCGCGCGGCCTCCAGATGGTTCTTATAAATGCCGTTTTGATTTTCGAATTAAATTTTCAAAAGTTTGAAGAAAACAAATTTTTTCATTGTTTTTCCATATTACATTTATGTGGATTGATGGCAAAGAAATATTAAATGCGTATTGTTGTAAAAGAGATTTGATTTTATTTAAAAATAAATAAATTGAAAAAATTAATACTTCGCATCAGGACAAACCATACATGAGTGAAATTTGTTTTTAATGAAAGAGACATCAGGACACAATGGGGAGAAGACACACGTAGATTGGCTTAAGATGGAGATAGAGTAGCTTGGAGAATTGTGTAAGCTTGAAACACTGATTTAAAAACGACCGAACACCGAAAAGTATTAATGGTTTCAAAATGTTTATTGTTGTTGCAAGAAAGATTTATGCGGTGGAACAGAAAATGGTTTATCAGAATTGAATTTTGGCAGAATGTAAGGCAACCTCCAAATATACATCGCCAAAATTGTAATTTTCCAATCCAAAAACAAAAGGTTGCATCTTCATGGTTGTGGAAGATAAACAATAGGTTTATTGGTACGAAATATTCGTTAACTTGCCTCAGCATAATAGTTTTGTCGAGTTGAAAAATTGCTTTAAAATGTTTGCACAAATGCTTTTCGAAGACAATAGTTTCATCGATCTTGCGAACTCATTTTATGTAACAATATCGTTATTGACCAATCTCTGCACACTATCTTCGAATATATCGAAACAGGCGAAAATATTCGGACTTATTGAAAAACTCGAAACCATCATTGAAACGAGTGAGTTCAGTTTACGAACTTAAAAAATTGAATTATTTAAAAAAAAAATCTTTTTTTCGGGGCAAAATAATCGAAAAGTTTATAGCGGATTGAATGTAAAAATTGAAAAGTGGTCCGAAATCATTTACCCGGCCTTCATTTACGTATCAATTTCATGTATTCTATTACCAAAAATATTTTTGAGCTACTATCATTACTTTTTAAACGATCGGGGAAGTGATGCTTTCAATTTAAATTTTCTGATGTTGTAAGTTTACAGTTTCACCCCATAAATTGGTTAAATACAAAGCGTAAAATAAAAGTAACAAATAAGTTCCATAAATTTGACAAAAATTTAAATTAAATTTAACAAAACTTGCAATAAAATTAATATTTCTTTCAATAAAATTGCCACGTTGAGAAATTAATTTTGACAAAACGGGCATAAAAATGACATATTTTGCAATAATTCTGACCAATATTCGTTGGATATTGTTTTTTTTCTTTTCAAAATTAGGCAACTACCATACACGCGAATACTATTTATAATGTTTGAAGACATTCGTTGCAGAATAGTTCGAATACAAAGTGCATAGCGTCAATCGTTCATATGGAATGTTTTTTTTTTCGCTATGAAACGATAGAACTACTTCAATACTTGCATTTGAAGTGTATATGCCATACGAGACGTAGAGATTAATGGGTGTAATGAATTACTAGTATTACAAAAGTTGATTTCAAACAATAACGCAGAAAAAAAAATCTAAAAACCAGTATTGTAATAAGTTGTGATTGAATTAATTAAAGCCCTAACCAGAATTAAATGAAAGTCAGCGATCAATCTTCTTAGAACACTCATTATCAACACCCACAATGTGAGTATTTGAACATATAAAAAAATTATCATTTTCATACATCTAGAAACACTTTTGCTACCCAAAACAGGTAAGTGCATTTTAAACGCGTTTTCTATTAAACACTCAGATCATGCAAATTATGCTCACCAGATTTGTGTGATTGAATGTCAACGATTCGATGGTGACAAGTTGAATAAACTATTAGAAAAATTATTACCAATTCTTCGTAAGGATCGTAAGAAAAAACTGATCATGATAACTGAATACAATATTAATTTTATGTCAAATTTCAACGATATCAGCATCTTTACAATGGAAGACACCAACATTTCCTTCGACCACTTGACGCTAAACTCCCAAAAAAAAAAATTGCGGAAATAAGTAGTGCAATATCAAGGGAAAGACACATCACTCGATACAATTTCACCAGAACTTACCATTACTCCAGACATTGTATTGCGATTGATTGAAGATGATAAAGTTTCCATAGATAGCTATATAAGTACGAAGAGCAATTAATACAAGGTGCGGAAATAGTACGAAATTTCAAAAATTCCGCGTATTTTAGTTACAAAATAAACTCCACTTTACATTGATTTGCTATATACCTCAGTGGCGCTAGTATCGTGAATGGGAGAAATTGACAGCTCTTCTTCCGAAACCTGAATTAATATTAGTACTTCGAAATAGATAGATAAACTATAGATTAGTTGCAATTTACATCTTTCATTGTTCTTTTGAGTTAGTCTTGAAGATTTTTAACATAAAATAATTGTACTAATCGTGTTTTTCGTATGAATTATACAATTTTAGTTGTTAAAATTTCAAATTTGTATTTATGAAAAAAGAAAAAATCCAAATAAAAACGTTATTTTAAATAAAAAGTGTTTGCAACATAGAATTGATGGATATATTTGAAAAAGGCGCTGCGTGGCGACCCAAGAAAAATTGATATATTTTTGAATGAATTTAAATTTAAGTATAAAACTCTTTGAATTAAAATTGTATGTTTCTAATGTAATTGATTGTGAGTTGTTTTTTTCTATTGCTTTTTGGATTTTCAGATGTGATTCAAAGCTTTAAATTTTGGTAATTTTTACAAAAATTGTATTTTGTCTCCCTTCAAAGGAAAATTTCAAAATTCGATTGGTTTATTCCACTTGAATTCGATTTCCATATTCAAGTAGACACTCTTTGATCGCTTGTTGGCATTTGCAATAGTCTTGGAACGGTGGTGCGATCACTTCGTCGAATATGTTCATCATTTCGATGTATTTTTTCAGCGCTTCATCGGTATTGCCCTCGTTGAATAGACGTTGAGCAGTTTTTTCCAGAATTTCCGTGTCTTGAACCAATTTCAATCCCTTCAAAATATTCGTGAATTCACCACATTGAATGCACTGGATTATGAATTCATTGCAATCGGCTGGTACTGGTATGACATTGTTACACGGCTTTTTGCCATTGCATCTGGAAAAAACGTATCGACATTTCAATGAATTTGAATAAATAAAATGAATTGCAGTAAGAGTTGGTGACCAAAGAAGGAGAAATGATCATTTGGTCTATACTAAACTCATGACTTGACTTGACTCACTTGAAACGAATTTCATTTGTGTTCATATCGCCAAAGATCGGCCAATTTTTCTCACAAGCCTCACATGCACAGTCAAACCAATAGAAATCCTTTAGCTTCTTCTGTCGCTCTTCTCTCGTATTCTGGCTGTAAAGCGGCCCGTAGTTCTCAGAGATTTGCTCACCCGATTTTAGATTCCGAATAGCAATCACGTGCGCGGCAGTGTTTTTGAAGTACCTATTTCCAAGACGAGAATAGGAAATTTCATTCATGAAAATTTAATTCCTTCTTAATTCAAAATATATTTTGAAAAAGCAAGAGAATTCTTTAGGCAAATCAGCATGTGTAAAACGAACCGAACAATGCTTGGATTGCACGAGTGATTGAAGAGTGCCAATGTTGTATAGAGTCCAGCACCAATTGCAACCGTTTGTCTAGCTCCCGTTTTGTTCGACTTCAGCAAATCGAAAATTTCGTGCGAATTGAATTGAAGAATTTGCAAATTGCGTAGAATCAAACCGCCGATGAAAACCTCATCCTCGGTGCACAAATCCTCTGTTTTGCCACTGTCAAAGAAATGGTTCGCTGCTAAAAATTTCACCAAAAACGATGCCATGAACGCATACTCCAGGAAACTATACGTCGGCCGTTGCTTTTCATGCCGAACCATACAATACACGCGACGATAGTCATGCGATGGCAAGCTAAATGTATGGAAATGGGAAGCACATTGATTGTTTTAGAAAATTTTCTCGTTGTTTTCTGTTTTCTCCATGCATTTTCTGACAAATTAAGATTTTTCCACTGAATTTCCAATAAAACATAGCAAACAAACACCCTAAATCGCTTTCAAGATTTTAAATCCAAAAATATTTCAATTCGACTCACTTTTTGATCTCATCGATACTCAAGTTATCTTTCAACTCCTTTCGAATGTTGCGCCAGTACGAGAGCGGCCGTTGAGAAATCAAACGCATCGCCATTTGACAGTTGATCGATGAACCGGAATTCCAGATGGTTTCTAGCATGCCGCATTCGAACTTGTGATAGCCGTAAATCGCTGTGTTTCGGCAATTTTTCGAACAAAACACCACATCGATACAGGTTGGACACGGCAATGGTGTTATCGATCTGATTGAATACGATACTTTTTATTATTGATTGATGTAATTGATTTGGATAAATGAAAAAGTGGTGTTTAAGTGTAAAATGCACAATTAGGTTCGCTCTGAAATGGTCAGATTATTATCTAATGAAATTGCATTGACAAAAGTGTAGAAACACAACCACTAATCGTTAAGAAATGAAAAAAAAGATGAAATTGTCGGTCAAAATAAAAAATTACCGTGCAAAGCAGTGTTGGCAATGCGATTTGGAGAAACGTTCGAAGAGTGTAGCGCAAAGAGCTTGCTCAACCAAAACTTCTTCGCCAATTTTCATATCGCGAATGGTTTTCGTGAAACGACCTTCCTGTTCGTTCTGGTCGAATATAACCGATTTATTCAATTTCGTCGGTGATATTGTCGATGTGGGCATCTGTGTGCTGGCACTTTTCATTTTCTTTTCAAACTCCACTTGCTGCGGCAGCATTTTGATCATGATCTGTGCATCCTTTTCCAGTTTTCCACGCTTTTCCATTGGTAATTTTGAGTTGTCCAAATGCGTTACGGTTTCTCTGGATTGGAATTGTTAAAGAAATTATTCATTAAATTTCTCTTTTCCATCTGGTTCAAACTCGAAGTTAATAATTTGGTTAATTCAGTCAAAGTGCAACAGATCAAAATTTAATTCACTCCATTCCTGATCAGTGAATAAAATGTCAATTCCGGTGTAAATTCTTACTTGAATGCATCCAACGCCTTCTCATAGCACTTCTTCGCCAGATAACAGCGAGCCGTACGTTCCTTGAGTTTGTACAACATTGTGACTGGATAATTTTCCTCAGCCAATTCAATGTCTTGCAGTGCATGATCGAATTTTTCCATGTGATAAAGTGCGGCCGATCGATTGGCCAACAGAATCGAAAAATCTTCATCTAAAAAATTACAAAAATACCAAAATAATTCACGGCAACATCGATTTTGAAACACTCTCCTCACCGTTTTCCGATGGCAACAGCAACAATCCTTTGTTGTAGAAATCGAGTGAGGCGAGCCAATTTTTTTGTTGAAACGCTCGATTGCCTTTCAGTTTGAATTCCAGTGCAAAATCAGCATTTTTTATCGATTTACTGTAGAGTGTCACTTGAAATTCCTTGATGCTTGGCTGTTGTGATACGAAATTGTAACGAGCTTCATCGTCTTCTAAGTTTGCAAAGTTTTTCACTTGTTCCGCATTCAAGCCGCTCTGTAGTTTTTGGTAAATTTCCTTAATGAATCCACTCGACTCATTTTGCTCGGAGAAACGACCCATTTCAAAACAAGAAAATTACTTTTGTATTCGGATTGAGTTTAATTGGAAACAATCGGTCTCTTTCAAAAAAAAAAAAACAGTCACACTAAAAACAGAAAAAAAGGAGGAAAACTTTTTCTGTCGGCAAAATTTTCACTGCATGAAAACCAGGGCGACCGCACAAAGCCGAAAGTGAAACTAAAACTGACGTCAGTCTATTTTCGAAACACACATTTCAACAAGAAATTTTATTGCGCAACGCATTCGCCGACCGCTTCCCAGCTCCATTCGATGGAATTGCGCCTGCGTCATCTTTATTCACATGTATTTTTGTACTTTTATTCGTCGAATGATCATTTTCTTAATTTTTCGGTTGTTGTTGATTGAATACAGAATCAAAAGAAAACTACGCAAGGCAAACACATAGAACACAACGTCCATACGCATGAAGTGATGAATAAAACGCCGAAAATCAAGTGCAAGAATGTATTTGAATTGGTGTGGAGAGCAAATCAAATCTGAAATTTGACATGAAAACCAAAACATGATATTCAGCTATGAATAAAGATGCGAATCCAATCTTTGAACCATAGAAAAAACAATGGATTGTTAAACATCAATTGCCATCGTACCAGTTGATTTCTCTTAAATGCTTGAAACCTAACGAAGTAGAGAAATTTAATTTTGTCAAGTTGTTGTCGGAGATATCAAGGTACAACAATTTCCACGAAGTCTTAAATGATTTGACATCATAAATCGATAAATTGGTGCGTCGTAACGAAAGCCGAAAAATATCCTGGAATCGTTTAAATGTAATTTCATTTATTTCTCCCACATAACTTCCAGAAAGATCCAGATAGCGTAGATTTATTCCCAAATTTTGTATGATTTCAGCTGCATTTTCGAAATCGTTATCGCCTGCGATAAGGTATTTTATGGAGTCCAAAGTTTGCGACAGTAAAGTCACATTCAATCGTTTCAATTTGTTTCGCAAAATGTCTAACTTGTCTGTCAACGTTGATTGGAATCACATCAAAATGTTGCAAATGTGTGTCTGCCAAATTTAAATAGAAGACTTGCTCAAAATGTTCAAACGTGTTGAGATTCAATGTTCCGATGAAATTCTGCGAAAGGTCTAATACCCACAGATTTGGTCTGAGAATGTGTATAATTTCTATAACGTTATTAAGTATAACGTTATTAACGATTTCCAGCTGCTCGCAACAGTTGCAAATTTTTCATAGATTTTGAAAATAAACTGATAAATGTTTATCGTTGATGGCTGGAGAGCTTTTGAAAATCCAATCGGTGAAGTTCTTTGATTTTATTGTGAGAAAAGTCCAACTCCGTCTATTGTTTTGTGTTATTAAATAGAGACAAGTGCATTTCCGTTAAGTTATTGTGAGACACATTTAACCGCTTCAAATGTTCGAAATTCAAATGTAAGTTGCCTAATGTCGTATAGTTCGAAAACGAAATGTCCAACGTGCGCACATTTTGATATCGAATAAATTTTGTCTCGATCGATTCGGCAGAGCAGATCTGAATTTTTAGCACTTCCACAGAAGAATAATTACAATCATAATCGCCGACATAAAAAGATTCATTGCAAACAATGTATCGTGATTCATGATTTTGGCTAGATATAACACCAGGAATCACAATATAGCCATGCACTTCTTTGGCCAAAATCAAAACCAACGCACAAGCTATAACAAATCTCATTTTATCAAACAGGAGCCGCACACCAATTCAAAATTTTACGTTCTCGGATCAGATTTGAAATTGAAATTAAACAGGAATCTCATTTATTGTTCGCCTTTGTATGTTTCAATCGTATTTAGTAAGCAAGACTTTCGTTTATCAATTCCAAGAGAGAGGGTTGCTTGATAAATCTTAAAATATAACAATTTAAGAATTCAATGAATAATTTAGCTTTGCTTTATATGTCTTCACGTCAAAAAATCACTTTCAGCTAAATATATTCGTTATGCTCAATTTTATCTCCCGAAATATTGTTCACAAGATTTCATGCCGCTGTTTTCGATACCTAAGGAATTTCCGTTTATTTCGTCCATTCAACAGTTCACTGTTGAGTCACACCTCTGGCATTTTCTTGCTCATTTCTATAGCATCAACATTTCCGTTCCTTTTATCAAAAAATGACTTCATTATAGCGATCAAACCACAAACAATTTCAAAAATGTGTTTTAATCATTACTAAGCAATTTTTTTACCTACATTTAATGTTACTCATAACGTGCGTCACTGCGTACTGAAAATAAAAAAAACTTTCAATTTATTCATTACAATAATATTTTTATTCATAATTTACAGAAAAAAATAGGTAATCTTTTGTTTTAAAATTAACTTATCTGAAAGATTTTTTATTTTGCTAAAATTGTACTTAAATCTTTAAAAAAAAAATACCCAGTCGTACATTTGATGCATGTTCACAATTATTTAAATAAAACAATATTAGACTAATCGAACAAAAATAATCCCATTATGCACGCAGTTATGCTGCATTTGGTGCAGATAAATGTCTAGCAGTAGTCTTTTGTTTACATGATTTTGGTGAAATTCGATTCAACATTTAAACACAAAATTAAACCACATTTCCATCTATAGTTATTCAAAGCACCTAAAGTCATATTTTATTTGTCGGACAAATTTTGAGTTAAATCGAAAAAATCGGAAAATATGAAAATCAACTTGACTTTTTTTAATGTTTACTGTAATACAATTTCCTAACATTTTTAACGTGTTCTTACGCTATCTTGAAATTTATGTAATGAATACTCTGTGTTTTAATCCGAAGAAATAAATGAATTTACAGAAAAGGCATAGAAATGATGGCATACAATTGACTTGAAGGAAAAAAAATCAAATAAACAAGCATTTGAGATGGAATTTTGTATGACTTCTTCCTCAGTTTCCATTTATTATAGGGAAACTTAGTATTTTATGGCTGACGCTTCCTCTATTCATAAGACTTCAAGTATTTACCTTAACACGCTTCATGGTACTGTTTAAATCGATACAATGATTCTGTGAGCCAAACGGCTAAAGATTGTAGTATTGACCAAAATTTTAAGATCGCTTCATCGATACATATGAAAAACAAATCCAAAAAGGTCATCAAAACGGGCAGAAATCAGATTGGAGAGAAAAAAATGCAATAGCGATGAGAAGAAGAAATTGTCTCCTTTGAAAAGTGAAACACACTCAATTCGTCCATTTGCTTATGCGCCCAATTTGCGAAAAATGTTCTTTTTTTATTAATACAAATCTTATAATTAATTTAGGATAGTTCTTTCTACCTCCCTCCCTCTCTCTTTCTCTTTCCCTTTCGTACGATTCAATGGCGAAGAACGATAAAAAGCGCGCTTTCAATCTACTTGAATGAGAAGGTGATTTTTTTCTTTTTGGTTGCGTTCGGATGTCGTGACAAATATTCGCGTCGATTTGAGCTGGACCGTACTTCGATGATGTTATTAATTTTCTCGACAATTTCCGCTGCCGTCACTGGATTCGTCACGAAGTCGTAATGTCGAAATGACGAATTGGCGTCTGAATGCTGCGATTGAATCGATTGTTGTTGCTGTTGTTGTAGCAATAGCACATCGGGCGCTGGTCTATATACAATGCGAATAACGATACGGCTACGTGCGCTCTCTTCAATATCACACCACACCACCGATTCCATGCTGTGGCTGATGGGTTTTTGGCGAAAGAATTTCGAATTTTGCGGTTGAACGGGATCAATTTCGAGTTTTTCACCGGAAATACCGAGCTGAATGTCCGTTTTAAAAATGCCCTTCGTGAACATTCTCACGCGATACGATCGATACAATGGTGCTTCCATTTGTATGGTATGGCCTTTCATTCGCTCCAAATCCTGTTGATTGGTCGCTGCCGATTGGCTCACAATCGAATCTTGATTCGGTCCATTCAAAATGCTATCCGTTTCGGAAATGGGTCGGCTATCCTGTCGCATCACTGGATCCGTATTTTTGCGTTCGACCAATGCCAAATGGCTAAACCGAAACTTTGAGCACGGTTCACGTAGGTCCAACGGTGGAAAGTCATCAATTTCGCCATCACCCTCCGTAATATAGAGACCATAATTTTGAACGGATAATAAAGGTACATCAGTGTATGTAATGCTGCATTTGTAGCAAATCAAACCGATAAATTCTTGAATACGTGCCGTTGCCACCACACAAATGTCCATCGGATAGTTTTGCTGTTCTTTGGGCAGCATTGTTAAAAAGATTTTAAACGATTTGGTTGGTACACTCATTTGATTGCCATCAAAACGGGCATAGGTTTGAAATTTATTCACCGGTTGACGTCGTACTTCTTCCAGCCGTTGAGCCAGCAACGATTCCGGTTGCTTGGGTTCGGTTGTGGTCGAATCATCATTGGTATGGCCATTTGTTTGTGTTGTTGTTGTTGATTTGTTGCCAAAATCGATGCGACGCGTGAATAGTTCATCGATTTCGGTGTCGGTGAGTACAGGTACATTGTCTTCCAATTTAATGCTACGCACTTTAGATGCACGCCGTCGGCTGGCATCCAATTTGTCATGCTTTTGCGATGTGGCATTTGTATGCTTGCGCAAACCATGATCTTGATCCATATGAATGTCATAGGATTGTGAGAGCGGATCCAAATCTTCGTCATCGCTTTGATCAAGCCCCGGATACCATTCGTAGTTTTCATCGATGCCCGTCCGATGGTTATGATGATGCGAATGATGGTGATGATGATGATGCTGATGCGGATGGTGATGGTGATGCGTGGATTTCATGGATGTGGATGAGGTATGGGACACTTGTGGAGTTTCTCGTCGCGCCTTACACGCCTCAATGTATCGACTGGGCAAATCATCCGACAACATTACCGCTTCACACATCCCCGTATCGTCCGTTCCAATGTATGAATTTCGAATGTGCGACAATAACCAATGTTTATTATTGTATGTGGCCATTTTTTTCTCTCTCTTTCTATCTTTACACACTCTATCTATCGTCCGCACACTCACGAATTTTTCTTCCGTCTTCTGTTTTTCGTTTTTTTTCTTTGTTTAAAGCAAACTAACTATTTTCTAATCCCTGTACGCAAATCAATTGCAAACACTGTCATTTAATATGGACCAAATCGCACGAAATTGATTTGTTTTTATAAATTTCTCGCTTTTTTGCTGTGCTTTGTTTTTGTTTTGGCTTAGATGTGAACACAATTTTTTTTTTCTTCTTATTATTATTCTTTTTTCATATATATTCTGGCATTGAGTTTGACAGTTCTGATATTTGGTTCGGACAACGCAATTGACACTTCGCATTGCGGAGACATTTCGATGTTTGAGCTGTTTGTTGTTTTGAGGCTTCACACCACAAACGTAATAGATTCTGGAATGAATTTCACTCAATGAACGTCTTAACTTCTTTATGAACGTCGTTGAACGGACGACTTTTACTTCAGTTGATCGTATTTGAATTCAGAGTCGACACAATTTATTTTTTTTCTAACTTTTTGTTATTTTCAATATTTTGCAGACAAAATTCTTCCAATTTTACAACAAAAATACCCAATTTTGTCTAAAACACTGACTAAAATCATCCACGAGAGCATGAAATCGTTCTTTTTTTTTCATGTGGATCAATGAAATCTAGTACTACATACCATAGCGACTGTTGTATATTCTCGTATTCTCCACACCCCAATAGGATTATGTACGTGTATAAAACACTATAGCGCATACGATTGAACTGTCAAAATATGACTTTAAATAAATAAATTCCCTTCAGTGTGTTATTGTGTGAAGCAAAGTGCAGTCAAACAAAATAACTTCATTTTTTCTTTCAAATTACTTGAGCACACACACATTTGGTGTTCAACGAAGATTGGCATTTACAATCATAATAAAGTGATATAAATGGTTGTATATTTTTGTGTTCGATTTCGAATGAGTGAATTTTAAACCGGAGCAAAAAATCGAAAACTGTGAAGCATCGAATCCGGTTTTTCCAAATAAAGATGAATCCAGACGGTGAGTCAGTCAAGCATTAGAAACTAAAACAAATATGAAAACATCGAGACAATTGGTCATACGATGGAATAGATCCGCGTGTATAGTAATGAAAAAGTCTTATCTTATGGTGCATTATAATGCAACTGGCCCATTAAGACCAATTATGTCTTTTGTTTGGTTAGATAAACGAGATAAACAAACAAGCCATTCTTAGCGTGTGTTTGATAATGGTCGAGTCCATGGGAGTAAGAGCGAGTGAGCGATTGAGTGAGTGAGGGAAAAAAAAGATCGAGCGTAGAGGAACTGGGAAAAACAGAACGATGTCGTTATCGTTCGCTGATGACTTGTGATATTATTTGTGTATACGTAGTCGAAGTTACTCTCTCTCTCCCCCTCTGTTTCTCACTTGTTCAGCCTGACTCGACAGCCGAAGTGCTTTTTCCACAGAAAATTTGCGTCTTGTTTATTGTCAAAGTCATTGCGTCGCCAATTTTCCGAAGAAAGAAACGATATGTATGCGGCCGTGTGCCAAAAACAGACTTTTTTTTGTGTTTACACAACGCAACTCAAAATCAGCCTTGTTTTGTTATCCATTCATTTTAACGGGGCATTTGATGTTTCACTTCAATTTCATCCTTTCAAGTGCCTTAGTTGTACTCGATGGGCTTCGTGTATTGTGCATGTGCGTGTGCATGTGCCTCGTGTGTATGCCTGAGCGATGTGCCACCTGTACAAACTGCTGAACACACTTTGCTCCATTCGAACGGCGGATCGTTCTTATCGCATCACTTGCGCTTTTTTCGAGAACCTCTCGTATCACACAATTTATTTTTGGTCAACCAAAAAGAAGAAAAAAATGTGTGTTTGATTTGTTCAATTATAGATTGTGTCATCGCCACCACCGTCGCTGCTGCTGCTGCTGTTGCTGTTCTCTCATGTTCTATGCGCTTTGCCTGTTAATAATTTCATCACGCGCATTTTCATAACGCGACCATTCGATTTTTGTTGACATTTCAATTTCATTAAATTGCAATTAAAGAGTTTGTTGACACCTTTTGCTTTTTTTCCCTCTCTCTCTCTCTCTCTCTCTCTCATCGCTGTTATCGCTTTTCCATTTCTTTCGTCTATTTCACTGTCGCTGCTCTGCCGCGTTTCCATTTCGTTTTCCAATCACAGCCGAGAATCGATATTCAGCTCCAATTTCTAGTTTCCTATACATATTTCAGCGGTATCATGCATCACAATCTACCGGTTCCATTCGACTATACGTTTTTTTTCTCCAGTCATACTGGAGCTCATTTCTGGTTTGGTTCAGCGATCAATTGTTCTGTTTGTTTCTCATACATTCTTTCTTTTTTTTCATTTTCGCATTTTGAACGACAGTCATTCGGTTAGATCATTTCTCTGGTGAGTGCGCGCGCGCGCAACTCTTTCTTTCCAGCATTTTTGTCTTTTGTCAATTCTTTTTAGCTCATCAAGAGATTTAGATGTTAATTTGTTGCGCCTCGTGAACTGATCATAACTTGTGTACTTGCTAAATATTTGCGTTCGTGTATCGATGGTTTTCGTTCTCTGTCTCTTGTGTGTGGCACGCATCGTATAAACCAGAGACTGAAATAACCCGATCTTCTGCCGGTTTTCGGATCTTCTGAACGGAAAAATGCTGCTCTAGTTTTAAATTACGGATCCTCAGAAATTTCAAATGAAACAAAATTTATGCCCAAAGAACGCATACAAAATACTCTTTGATAGAAAATATTACAATAAATTAGGTAAAATTGAATTTCATTAGACATCATATCGAAATATTCGCCTCGCTTCAGTCGCCACGTACAAACACTAAAATTGTTGGTCAAGATATGGCAAATATTAAATTCGTTATCGCAAAAACGGTTCACTTTTTCGAATTTTTTGTAAACACCTGCATTCTGAAGTTAGTCGGAAATCGAAGTTGGATGATTGAATATCCTAAAACACCGATTGTGAAGAAATCATGGCACTAGCATGCACTAATGTGCTGAGTAGGCATTCATATTGAAAAAAATAATTCCCAAGATCGGCAATAAAATTGTGGATGAATGATAAAAATCAATGGGAAATATCAAACATTTCTTTTTTTTTTCCGTACAACAAATTGAATCTTCCAAATACAAAAAAAAAAAAACGAATCTATAATTCAGAGTTCCGTTTTGTTTTTTTAAATTGCAATCGGAATTTCAGATCTTCTGAACACAATTTATGGCGTTTTCGGATCTTCTGAAAATTTCTTATTTCAGTCTCTGGTATAAACACTAAGCCAACACAAATGCGCACTGTCCATCAAGAGCAAAAAACTAAAAAAGACCAAGACCAAAAACAGCTACAACAGCTAAGCACACAAAGAATAACCATCTTGTGGTGTATACACCAACCATAACCACCATCACATAGAAATTTATATTGCTCGCTTCTCTCTCGTTCTATTCGTTGGAACTTTTATTCATAGAGAATCGAGTGAATGCCGAGATCACGGTTCTTTCTACACTGCGTGGACTTTCTCAACTGTAATATTACACACAACCAATTAGTTGTTGTTATGTGTTTGGTAAATCATAATCTCTCTCTCACCAGCGTTCATTGACACACGCAACAAATTCAGTTTTGCTTCTAGTTTGGTTCGCCGGTTTATGGTTACGTGAAAGCCGGCACGGGTTTATAGCCACTTCATACACAACCATGTACAGTTTGAATAAATCGTAGTGTTTCTTAAGACGCAATTTCTTCTAGTTTTTCATATTTTTTTTTATTTTTTCATTTTCTTTTCGTTGCAAAAAAATTGAATTGAAGCAAAAAGTTTTAAAAAGAAGCAAGCAAATACTTGGACAAAGGGGAAAAAACAGACACAGAACAAAATTAAGAAGAAAAAGAAAAGAAAAATCATAAAAATGTGAATGAAAAGCAAAATAAGGAACCGAAAATTGAAAAAAATCAAATGCAACGACGCTTAAAAAGCCCTTTACTTCGGACTGGAAAAGACTTTTATTCTATTTTTGTGAACTTTTTAGTTTTAAACAAAAATTTCGTGTGACACACCAAGGAAGAGAGAGAGAGAGAGAGAGAGAGAGCCAAAAAAACGAGTGATCGTTACACTTTTGTTTGGGGTCATTTGAATGCGGGCAAACGCCTTTCACATGCAATGAGCTCAATAATTAATATCGAATTTGAGCGTCAGAGCGATGATAAATTATGCTATAGAAAACGCTTTCGCAGCAAACGTGGTAAGCGGCGGTTGTGTTGTTGTTGTTTATTTTTATTTCCCTCAAGCCAATTGTCTGACGGGCCGTTTTTTGATTTTTTGCGTCGTAATTTCTTCGCAAGTGAATGTAAAGCACTTAAAAATTTATGACTAATGACAGTTCTTGGATTTGATTTGTTCGAAACCAGATACAATTTTATTTAACAAACAATTGGCCAACGCTACAAACAATTGAATTGCTTGTTTGAAAACATATTAATTAAATGGATCTATTGTTCTTTTTCGTTTGTTCAGGTGATGATGATTTTTTCTCCAATTTGCCGATCGACGATTCGAATTTGATGTTAGTCGACGATATATTGGATATAATCAAAAATGAACCAGATTTGGAGAAAGCCGACATGGATCAAATGCCAATGGATGCCATGTCAAATGGTTCATATGTGTCTGTAGCCAATGAAGTGACTGACACAATGATCGATCCCAATGATTTTTTCAACGATATCTACAAAAGTGAAGTGGATTATTCGTCGACATTTTCATCACCATCGTATCGAAGTACACCATCACCGACGACCAGCAACAGTAGTCGCAGCAGTTCGGATCAATTGAGTGTCGATTACAATTCGGCCAATTCAAATCAATCGGAGGCTTCGATCAATTTGTACAATGCACAAAATCAGTTTCAACCCAATGCCACGCAATTTATGCAAACAATCGCACAAAATTATGTGAATTTGGATACGCCGCCAATTTCACCGCCCGTCGATAATGGACAGACACTGTCTTACATTCAACCGACACCAGCAGCAGCTACAGCCACTCCAATTGCACAACCAATTCCAGTGCTCACCACCGCTGCAGATGCAAACAATCAGATCAATATCATCCAAGGCACTCTCATACCCATCACAGCCGTCTCTTTGTCCACACCACAGAATGGCACCAACATTTTGAGCACACACAATTCGCATGTGAAAAAAGTGAAAATCCAACCAAAACCATTGGCCATCGCAACGAAACCGAATCCATCGGCAAATATTGTCGCAAAGCCAATTGCCCAAGTGAATGGCACAAATCTTGCACCGAAAACCATATCGGCACCGAAACGGATTGTCATCTCGGGAAGTGATTACAAATCACTTGTGCTCAAATGTAAATCACAAAAGGCAGCTGCGGCGACGTCAGCGATTGCACCAACGCCTGTTGCATCTGTTCAATCCAACGAAGCGAATATTTTGAAATTCGTCACGGCAAACACAACCACATTACCAAGCGTCAATACACAAGCCCCAGCGAAGCTCAATACACAGCCATTGATCACGAATGGCCACGTCACAACCAATGTTGCAAACAATCGCATCCAAATTGCACCAATCAACAACAGGAGCAACAGCAGCAGCAGCAGCAGCAACATAAGTAGTAGCAGCAACAAGAAGCCAAAGCAAAAATCACTGCAAGATGAAATCGACGAACGAACGTTCAAAAAACAAATGCGCATGATAAAAAATCGTGAATCAGCCTGTTTGTCGCGGAAAAAGAAGAAAGAGTATGTCAACACACTGGAAGCACGTCTGATGGACTTGAACCAGGAGAACCAAGAGTTGAGATCGGTAAATATGCATTTTTCTCATTTTTTTTATCCATTGAAAATGACTGATTTGATTTTCACTTCCACAAATCCAGGAGAATAATGCATTAAAAGAGCGCCTTGGTCAGATGGCGAGCAAGATATGTGACATGTGTGGCAATTTGATGACAACGGACAAGAGTTCCAAAGCCATGGATACGATGTCGGTGCTGAGAAGTGTGCCGAAGAAGAACGCAGCCTTTTTGTTGGCATTCGTATTTATGGTGTCATTGAATGTGGGCCCATACATATCACCGCGTGTCCCGAATCTGGCCACCTATCGACCGGGTGCTGAGAATTCGTTGTCCGTGCCACAGCATCACATTGGTGCACGTGGTTTGCTTTGGATTGATGACGATAATGAGAGTACAAATACGTCAAATTTAGGCGACGACAGATCGGAATCGCAACGATCGTATCCGATGTGCCCGGTGTCGGTGAATCAATCGGAGAGTATACGATTGGCCAGTGAATTGCAGCGTTGGATTGGTGACTTGCCGGAATATTTTAATTTAACAAAAGTTTCATCGAAATCAAACGATGAATTGGATCTCAGTAAAATCAATGATTTTTTGCTATCGGACAAAGATAATGCCGCGATTAAATCATTTTACAAGCAAATGAAAGATGTACGTGAATTGCAGAAAAGGGCCAATGAAATTGATGCGAATGAGAAGAAGAAACGTGATCGGGTGTCGATCAAACGTCGATTAAGCGGTTATGATGCGACGAAGAGGACTGTAATCGGTGTGAATAATGAGCAACAGCCCAGTGCTTCGCATGTTCAAATCTTTAGTCCGGCATACAGTAATGCCATGAAGTATGCAACATTCTTTGAGGAAATCCATCGACAGGACGATACCTTTTATGTAGTAAGTTTTCGCGCTGATCATTTGCTATTGCCCGCGCTGGCGCATAACAAAACATTCCGGCCGAAAATGTCACTCATGCTACCGGCTTGGAATCTCAATAACAACAATAATGCCTCGACCGATGGCATTGTAACACTCATGCAAATCGATTGCGAAGTCTTGAACACCTCAATGATTCGCATCAAAGAGAGTTCCATCCCGGAAAATCTACGAAATCGATCATCGACCACATCGACGTCATCATCAGCACGGAATTCAGCCGATTCCGTGGTCAACGACACATTGAAACCACCACGCAATTTAAAGGTCAGACAACGTCGACGTCCAAATCCAACAATGTCTGCACAAGAACCATCGGTTGATCCAGCCAAAAGCAATATCACCACCACCACAAATAGCACCAACATAAACAATGGGTTCAAAAGCCCGGCTCTCGACGAATATGATGACACCAAGAAAATGACAGACACCGTGAAAAATTACAAACCATACTTTTTACGCAACAGAGCCGAACGCACACAAAATATTGGCAATTGAGACAATGAGCCCACAATTTTAGAAACATTGTTGGACTTTTTTTTCTATTGTTTTCTTGATCTTCTCTAGCGAATTTAAGTCATCGAAGAAAAAAAATTCGTGTCAATTTCTTATTCTCTTTTATAAAATCTGTAAGATAATGTATTACGTTAGATAATTTCGTTTTCTTTTCTGCTTCAACTCTCCGTTCTATTGAACGTGAGCGTACATTTTGAAGGCATTTGTTTAAATTTTTCTCTCTCTAATTCTTACTTTTCATTTTTGCAAATGTTTTCAAACACAACGTTGTCTTTGTACTGGGCTACATCGATTTGATGCACGATTTGAAAATATTGAGAAAAAAACTGTATGTAAATTTTACACGATAACCATTTGTTCTTTGCTCAAGCATTTATAATTTATGAGATAGTTTTTAGGCTAAATTTCACAATAGCAAGTAAGATATTTTATGAATTTAGAACTACGACTACATCGACAAACATGTTTTTTTTTTTAAAAACCAAATCGATTGCACACACAAATGGGAGATATTTTTTTTTCTCTTTTCGGTCGGATTAATTGTTTGGCTATATTTTGAACTTGGGTTTTTTTTCTTGAAATTTTTTAATACCCAGTTGTTCTAACGCAAAAAAACACAAAACTAAACTAAAATGTACATTCGATCATTTTGATGTTGCGTTAAACATTTCATGGTGGCTTTTATTTTGGAACTTTTGAGTGATACAGTTAAGATTCACCTTTTTTGCTACGTTCGATTTTACTTTTCCACATGACCATATCGTGTAAGGATTTTTTTTTCAAATCCGAAAATGGTTTGGTTTTGCACACAAACACACACTTTCCAAGTGATCTAATTGTAATACGAAAAAAATGTTTTAGGCTTGAATTGATTTTGAGTGATTTGTATTTCATTAGATTGTTGAACAAATGATGAATTCGGAAGAAAAATAAAAATTTGATGAAAATTATTTCTTGATTGGCTTTTTTTGAAGGGTCAAAGTGCCGTTCGTTTGTAAACCTACCTACCTTCGGAATTTTCAAATTTATTTTATAAAAAAAATCGTTTTCTTACTAAAATTCAACTCAATCTGCTGGAATTTTGTTTTTTCGCTCATTTTTTTTCTTCTTCTCTGCATTTCAAAAATTTGTGCAAAAAAAATATGGAAAATTCAGAACGATTCCCATGGATAAAATAATGGATTTTCACATTTTTTGCTTCATAAAATGAAAAATTTGAAGAAAACAGAAGAAAATCATTGAATTCTTTTTAGCTGCGACACAAATTGTCTTATTTTCTACACCGAAGTAACTATAAAAATAAAAAAAAAATAAAATTGAAATGGAATATTCAAAAAAAATTGCAATTTTCATTTCTTCGATTTTTATAAAGAAAAAAAAAAACGTTTTTGTCGTTAAAAATGAAATTTAATTTTCTAATGAAAAATCTTTACTTTCAATTTTATTTCTCAGAATTCTTTCAGAAAGAATTTTTCTTTTAAATTTCTTTTTATTTGAGAAAAAAATGAAATGATTCATCAAAAAAGAAAACGATGTCTTCAACAAGATTAATTTTTTTTCCGGAAAAAAATGCTGAAAAAAATCAATCGAATTTGAGTGAAAATTAAATCAAAATAAAAAAAAACGTCAATTTTTCCTCTCATATGGTGATGTAGATTCATGATTGAGATTTTTTTACCATCACAGTGGAGGCGTTCATATTTGTGTTTTTTAAACGCATTCAACTTCATTCATTAGCGATATGACACTCGCATTGACAGCTAGTCCAATGACGACGACCACTAATCATAACATAAACAAATTGAACCAGAGAAGAAGAAGAAAATCATAAAAAGAATCACAGAGATTGAAGTAAATAAATTTGATTTAAATCTAACCGAAGCGAAAAGACGACGACCAGAAAATGGTGTGTGAGAAGTGTGAGAAGAAATTGGGCAAAGTTATAACGCCGGATCCATGGAAATCGGGTGCAAGAAACACAACCGAGTCGGGTGGCCGCAAAGTCAATGAAAATAAGGCGTTAACTGGTGGAAAGAATCGCTTCGATCCCGTCGGACAGACACTTCGCCCGTGTCGGTAAGTAGAGAATTGACAAAAAATAGAGTAAAAGTGGAAGATTTTAATTTCATTTTTCATTTTGAACAGAATTTGCCGAACGAAAGTGCATCAGGTCGGATCACATTACTGCCAATCGTGTGCCTATAAAAAGGGTATTTGTGCAATGTGCGGCAAGAAGCTACTTGATACAAAAAACTACAAACAGAGCTCAACTTAGGGATATTCTCACACTTTGGACATTGGAGCCAACAATTGATTATTGCAACCAAACTTTTAACTAGAAATCATCAATTGAACTTCATCAGTAACTTAATTCACATTCACTGTCCGATAAAACACCAGCATGATATCGCAACGTTTCTAGCTCCAATTTAGATTTAAGTCCACTAATTTAAGTAATTTGCTGTACATTTTTTGCTGTTTGTGCTAAAATTTATTTTTTTATGATTTTGAACTTGAATAAAAGGATGTAAAGACTCTGAAAAAGTTTGGACTTTTATCGACTAAATCGAACTCAATCGCTGATTGGATTTATGGTGAATGAAAAATACATTCTATCGTTGAAAAGGCTTTGGAAAAATAATTTTTCTCTCGACCAAAAAAAAAAAAATTGTAATGAATGAAAAAAATCAAGAAAAATTCTCTTTCAATTCGTAATGAGTTGTTCTCATTGAGCACAAAACCAAAAAAAAAGAGCCGAATCACAACTGTGAACGCACCGCAATGGAAACCTAACCTCACCAATCGGTGTGTGAGCGCAACCAGATACGTGTTGTTGTGTCGTACATACGTATAGCGGCAACTGTCAAAGTGATGACAAGTTAAAGCCTCGACTCGTTCATTTTGTTCAAAACGTCCTTCCGGATCGGTACCTCTTTCGTTCAAGCAGAGCGTGTTTTTAGTGTTATTTAGTGCAAAATCATTCTCCATCTTCCAATATGAGAATTTATAAGGATATTTTCACTGGTAAGTTGCATTCAAAACAAACTATCGAATCGTTTTCCATGAATATTTTTGGTGATTTCGTGCGATTTCATTGAAAAAAAAATGCAACAAAAATCCATCCAAAAAAAAAAAATTGTGACCGAGAGGAAAATGTCGTCGCCGTCTTTGCCGCTTGCTTGATCGTTGTGTTAAGACGGCTGGATTTTGTATGCTCTATGTATACGAATGTAAGCGCTATTGACGCCAAACGGTTGAAACGTAAACGGTTGCTCTTTTTTTCTCTTCCATCAAAAAAAAGGAAATTATTGCATTGAACTGAATAATTTCGATGGATTACATGTTTCACATTATCCATAGTGCATCGAAATTTTTCGGTGATTTCATCGTCTGGACTATCAATTGATGACTATGCTAAGCATATTGCTATGTGTATGTGACACAAATTTTCTATTGCATATTGAAACATTCGCATTTTATCGCGCGTTTCTAGCTACGTCTTCGCCCTACAAAAATGTAAAATGTGTGTCAAAAATCGAAGCGAACAGATGAAAATCGAATAGCATATAATTATTTTGCCGAAAGTGTATGCCGATTTTTTTTTTGACAAAGAAATTGAACTAATGGAATTTACCGATTGATTTATAACCTCAAATTTAACGATGAATTTTGCGCCTCAATTCATTTTGTGTGAAAAAAAAAACACTTTTCAAATCGAAAAATGTTTTTAAAACGACGAACAAATCATTTCTAATCAAGAAATCTTTTCGAGGCTAATCTTTATCTCGGTGCTCCTTTCACCTCTTTCACGCTTGAATTCGATGGGTTGTGCGTTGATAGCTTCAGGTGTGAACGATCATTTCAAGTGAAAAACTTCCACATATGCAATTGCAATCACTGTTGAACAAATGTTCAACTTTTTCACACATTTTGTCGAGGATTTTGATATGATTTCAAGAACACAATGAGCATTTTATTCAATTTCAAGGGGAATTTTTGCAGTTGAATGCGGTTTTTTTGTTGCTTTGTGAATTTTAGCATTAAATTTAAATCTTCAGTACTAAAGATGCCCGCTTTACTTTATTTTAGCACCAATCGACTAATGCATTTTTTTATTACTTTCTCTCTCTCTCTCTCCCGCTCTCCATAGGTGACGAAATCTTCGCCGACACATACAAGATGAAACTCGTCGATGAGGTCATCTATGAAGTGTACGGTAAATTAGTGACCCGTTCAGATGGTGATATCGTTCTCGCGGGTTCCAATCCATCTGCTGAAGAGGCCGATGAAGGTACTGATGCCAATGTTGAAACTGGTGTCGATGTCGTATTGAACCATCGTTTGCAGGAATGTTTCGCCTTTGGTGATAAAAAATCGTACACTGCATATCTTAAGGATTACATGAAGAAGTGAGTTTTGGGACATTAACAAATTTTTCTTTTTTTTTCCTTTCTTGTTCTCTGTCTTCCTTTTCCCCTATCGTTTTTTGTCTTTCTTTTCTTGTCTCTCTCTCTCTCTCTCTGAGCGTGCTGAGCGAGAGAGGAGCTCAGCAAACGAAAAAAAAACAAAAAATTCGAAACATTAAGCAATACAAAAATGTCCAGAAAACGGCTTAAGCAAATTTATCGTATCATGATACCGTTTCAAGTACTGTTGAATTTCAAGTTCAGTATTTGTACGTGCTGCTCTTTAGTTTTTGATTGCTGGCTGTTTGCACGACAGTTTTTCAGTTCTTTCTTCTGTTTCTATTCATTTTTTTATTAATTTTTTTGCTCCTTCTTACTTTTGTTTGAAAATTTCCATTTTTTTTAACGAAAAACAAAAAATAAAAAATGTATCAAAAATTCTAATACCGTAATGTTTCCATTGTTTTCTTCCAGATTGATCGCCGAATTGGAAAAGCGTGCCCCCGATCAAGTTGAAGTGTTCAAGACCAACATCAACAAACAAATGAAGGAAATTTTGGGCCGATTCAAAGATTTGCAATTCTTTACCGGTGAATCAATGGACGTTGATGGTATGGTTGGCATTTGCGAATACCGTGACATCGACGGTGTATCAACGCCAGTGTTTATGTTCTTCAAACACGGTCTCGATGAAGAGAAAGTATAAAATCGCAAATTCTCAACAGCAACAACAACCACAGAAACAACTAAACAGCAACCAATAACATCCGGAAATTTCATACTCCAATAAAAAGATACAAAAAACACAAACAACACAAAAAAATCCATGGTTTTTTTTTTCAATTGGCAAATTATCCTATTTTCATGAGGAAAAGTATTGATGTCTTTTTTTTCATTTGTCTTGGGTTCAGTTTTTATTGATTTTTTTTTTGGAAGGTGGAGAACAACAACGAGTTTTGCGCTACAAACGAAACAAAAAGAAAATACTGAGATTATATCGAACTAAATAAAAAGAATCTATGAAAATCCGAACGAAAATGACGTTTTGTTTTGATTTTTGGCGCGCATGAATTCAGCTGTCAATGTCTGGATGAGGATTATAATTTTCCCTCGATTTTCCACCAGCTCGCTGCTTCGGCATGTATACCGAAGGAGAAATTATTGTTTTTTGTTCGCTATTTTCAGCCGAAAATGTACTGAAGTACACAGAGACGGCAGCAAAGGAGGCAAAGTGTATACACGCAACGACTGTGCACACACAGTACTACACTCTCCGCAGTCCATGTGACGAGTGCGCGCAATACAACCCAAAATCGACTGAAAGAACGAAGCGAAAAAAAGTGTGTTGTTCTTACTTCTTTCAATGTGACACAAATGTCATTTTCAAAACACTGATAAATCCACACACCATCGTTTTCGCCCAGTGAAAGCGATATCATTGCAGGTGCACGCAACACTTTTTTTTTCTTCTGTTTGGGAAATATTGCATTTGCACCTCAGTTGAACAGTTAATCAAAGCCGACGAATCAATTAACAAATATTTAGATCAATTATCGTGAATTTGGGTTTATTTATCAAGTAGGCGCATTAACGGGACGGGTTTTTGTTTTTTCTCGGGGCGATTCTTTTGCATTTGCACATTTGGAATTGTTTAAGTGTCGCACAAAGTGTGTGTTTACCATTATCATTAAGGTGACTTTTTGTTTCAGCAGACACGGGATTTGTTTAGTTGGCTGCTATTGACTGTGTACAAAAAGGTAAGCAGAATGTATGGCTCCAGAGTAATGGAGCTGCTTGAAGTGGTTTTTTTTTTTTTCAAAACATTGGCAACAAAATCGATACGCACATTTCACGGATAAACCAAACCGTACCAACAAGATGCAAAAGCATTCGCCGCACGACGCAATATGGAACGATTGTGTTTTCTTCAAAAACTCAAAATAAAAAAAACGAAGTCAAGCAGTCTAAATTTAAAACCCGGCCAAAGTAACGGTGTCACAGTTCGTTGAAATAGACAATTTTTGCACATCGAACAGCATTTGATTGGGGCGCAAAAAGAACCGACACGACCAGTCAATACGATGCGGTTGCATGTTGTTGCATTTTACGATACACATGAAATTAAATTAAAAATAGTCCACACGCCTACTGAATGCACACAGCTCAGTCGAACGACCAGTCATCACGAAACTGTTGAAGATTCGCTCGAATTATTATCGATTTACTTGGAACATTTGTGAGGGAATTTTTGTCGGGCATAGAAAGAACGATTAAACTTCTGCTTTTTGTTGTTTTTCGGTTATTTTTTTCACCGATTTTTGCTTTCTTCGTGTTGTTTCGGGATTTTTTTCTCCATCCTATCTGATAATTCGGGCTTATTTTGTTAATTTTTGTTATTTTGTTGCTTCTTTGGTAGATTTTCTTTATTTTTGCCGAACGTCATACGAAGACTATGCATGACAACATGACTTTTTAAATCATTTTCTCATACTTTCGCTGATTTCTTTTGTTCCAAAACTAAGTCCGAGATTTAAAGTGCAATAATGGTTGGGATTTTTGGAATTTAATGATGGTTTTTAGCCAGATTTGTCCATATCTATCAATAGTCATAACTAAGTACGCTGAAGTACGTTGATTGCTGACAAGATACGTGTGGTGCCGTTATTCAATGGTTCTATTGATTGAAAACGTTGCATAAGAATAATGCAGGTCATCGGCATCCATGGAAACGCCGATGGAGAATGCCGAACCATCATTAATTGTCAGTTCTATCAACTTGATCTAAATTTAAAATGAAAATTGACCTTTATCAACCGATTGGTTCGAATCCACCCGGTCGACATTGTTGCTTCGTCTTTATCGCGTTTTGATTTTGATTCGTTTTTTTTTAATTCAACAATTATTTTGATTTTAATTCATTTTTTGGTGCCGAAATTTATTAGCTTGATCCATAATTTATGAGTAGATGCCTCAAGAAGTCTTCTGTAGAAGAAAAAAATTCTGCAATTTGAACCAATAGGTATATTGAAATGTAATAAATAACCGACTTCAAATAAAGAATGAAAAACCGAAACATCGAGAGAAAAAAACTCAGGTCAAAAGCTCTGTTTCGACCGCTAACCGTTTCGAAAGCTTAGATTAATTTGTCATGTGGTTGACAGCAATTTTTTTTCCAACAACTTCGTCATAAAATCTCTTGTTCTCTCGTTTGTGTTGTCAAATGTACAAGTACATACAACATCGATGTCAAATGAGTTGTGTGTTTATATCTCATATGACACAAAGCATGTGCTCCACACACTCATTGTTGACTGTTTTTTCTCTCTTTCTTTCTCTTTCTGTCTCCCTTTACCTCTCTCTCGCTCGATCTTTCTCTCCCTCTGAACGAAATTCACTTCAACGACACACAGTATATGTAATTTCAGTGTAAAAAAAAAAAATCTGTCGGTCGGTTGTAGATAACAGCGGCGACGGTATAGCATTACACAGCTAGCCGCCACCAGAAAAAAGTGTATGTTACGTGCACGCGGCTTACTGTGCGGATTCACGCGCGCTCGCGCATTTGTTCACCACGCTCTCATTCTGACTCACACCGTTGCCACTGTATCGGCGGCGATAGGGAACTGTGCTTCTGCTCACACACAAATTTACTCGAGTCGAGTTGTAGTTTTAATTCGGCACCGACCACAGTTGAAATACACCAAAATACGCGTGCTCAACGAGAAGAACATTTTTCGAAGCCGAGTAGTACGAATTGCTTTTCGCATTGAACACACCGTGTAGACATTTAGAGAGTGAGACACAACCTTTTTTTTTCTTGGTTATTATTTTGTATTGTTTTTATTTCTTTTGATCCATTTTCTAAGTGTTTTGATGATCATGTTGAAATTAAAAATTGTAAAAAATATGATTTTTTTCATCACTTCGAATTGACTTGTTGGTTTTCATCCCATCTTTTCAAAAAAAAAAAAAAAGAAATAAATTCTCAGAATTATTATGTGTGTGAGATCTTGTTGTGTACGACGTTGAAGTGAATCGTATTGAAATGAGCCAATTTCACAAATTCAAGAAAAATTATTCGCATTTCATCCGTTTTGGCAACGCAAATTAATGAAAAAACCGAAAAAAAGTTACACATTAAGCGAATAAGAATAAGTGATTTTTCTTTCTTGTGTGTCATATGTCACCGCATGATCGAATTGAAAACGGTTTTTCACATGAATTACAGCCCGCTTTGAAGAATGAACACCCAAAATGAAAATGTGTGCCAATAAGCGCGACAGAGATGAAACAAAGCGAAGATGAAGACACGGTTTGGGTTTTTAAATAAGAAAATGTGGCCGATTTTAGGCTTTGTTGCTATTGTTGTTGGCAAGGCTAAACGACGGTGATTCTATTGTTTTGTGTGTGCCGAAGCTATAAGAATTGTATGAACAAAAAAAAAACAGATCGACATCGATGGCAGCCGCAGTAACAACAACAACAACAATCGCATCAAGCCGATGTAGTAAATTGCGATAAAAGTTGCGAAAATAAAATTCGTGAAACATTTTATCAAGATATTTTTTTTTGTGGTGTGTATTTGAAAGAGTGAGAGAAAGAGAGCCAAAGAGAGGTAGAGAAAGACGAAGAGCGAGTAAGATCGTTTTTTTTTGTGTGTGCTACGGGATACAATCTCTCTGTGTTCAATCCTTTATCGAATATTTGTGTCGGTAAAATCTCGTTAAATTTATCGCCGCTGAAGCTAATTGGCCATTATAAACGTGTAAGGTGGGCTACACGCATCACAAAAAAAAACCGAGAACACGAAGGAAAAAAGGAAAAAAAACCGCAGAGAGTAAATTTAACCATGCCAAAGGATCATAAAGCTGCAATTACATAATCGGGTCTTTGGTAGTTATCTAATCAGGAATGTGTTTGCGTGAGAGAGAAACAAAAGATCGAACGTCAGATCGGTGTTGTTCACACATTTTTTAGTTTTACGCTCATTTCTTCTTCTTTTCGCTTTCGCAACTCTGTGAGCATTCTTGAGCCGCATCCATTTCGTTATGCAACTCATTTCTTTTCATTTCTTCGTCACTTTTGCTCATTAGTTCACGTTGTCTGTCTCCCATTCCATTCCGACCATTTTGCAAATTGCACATCATTTCGTGGCCAGAGTCAGCTGATCAATTGCTCATTGTGACTTTTGCAAAGAAACAAGTTCAGGAACTTTAAATATCCAAATGAAATCTATTCTGAGCGTGTCATGGCACTCACTTACTCACTCACACACACACATACACTCACATGATCAGCGAAATATCACAGAGACGCGCGAAATCGATCTCACTGATGAAAACACACAGAGTCGCACGCGCGTAATGAAACTGTTTCATTTGATTTACAAGCGGATTGAGTCGCGTGTGAGAGTATAAGATCGAGGCACGCGTATGAATAGGGCCCACGCGCGCGCACACGCGTTCAACCTTGAATATAATAATCAGAGAACAGCACACACATAGAAAAATACCGTGTGTATTTGCTACAATTATTACTCATAAATTTCCTTGTTCGATTCGGCTGAATGTCTGCTGTAAGTTTTGTGAATGGTGTCACACAGAGCCACTCCAGCAAACCAAAAATGATTTAAAACTCGTAATCGCTGATATTGATATTTTAAAACGAAATCTATTTTTACAGTCGAACCGATCGACAGTGTCGATTTGACAGTGGCAAATTGACAATCGGTTTGACACCACAGTCTTTGAATTATGGACTGAAAATCGTTGTCTTATTCTTCTTCTTCTCCGTATTCTTATTCTCATTCTTATTCTTCTTCAAAAAGTCACCCACATGAAGTTATTCTGAACGGCAATAGGAACTTTGTTGTCAGCTGTGTGCTCCATTCAACAGGTGCATAAACTCCATGCTCACCTCAAAACGTCTTGGAACAAAGGCTATTTTTTAGCCATTAAATAGTGAAAAAAAATGAGCTTATGCCACACGCGACAAATGTTCTAAAATTAGACTAATAAATTTGGACTCTTAAAACAATGGGTTTTCAATGTGCCCAGGACATGTGTACTTATTTCCCATCAGAATATTTGTATTTATCAAGCATCGCTTTGTCCCATTGACGGCTCTGATTAGACCAACAACACTGTGATTAAAATCATATCTCGCATTCAATGATGTAATTGCATCAATGTCAACCAAATTTTCCAAAACCAAACAACAAAATTTAAAATATTCCAAACGAAATGCGATATCAAATTGAGAAAATATTCCAACAATGAAAAAGTTAATTGAATTTGCATTGTATTAGATCGTTCGCATGAAATTGGCCATAATTTACATTGAAACGCCTCATTGTTTTAGTTATGTCTCCTTCTCCTTCTCCTTCCCTCTTTTTCTTGCCCGAATCGAACTCTTTTCTACCTTTCTCTCGCGCTCTATCTCTCTTTTACTCTCTCTCTCTCGCTCCCTCCCGCTATCTTTTTTCTCGTAAATTAGCCGCAGCATATAAAAAATGAAATTGAAACGTTAATTTTTGCGTTCGTTCGCGCCTTGATCGAACTGTCTGTCGGAACAGGCCATGGAATGAGTCGAACACATTTCCTAACATGGTCGATTTAATTATAATTATTTTATTATGAGCGTGTAATTGAGAACAACTTGTTGAACTCTCTGTTATGCTCCTATACTCGCGCGCACACACACACACACACACACGCAAATTAGAGCTCCCACTAGGTGGGAGTGTTAACAATGTAAATACGCGTAGCCCAACAATATAATAAGGAGCGCAATTTTCCTTTTTTTTGCCAATGAAACATAAAAAATGACACGTTTCAAAGCGGTGGTTTGGTCAAGTGATCTCAATTTTCGCGATAGCCCCCAAGCTTTGAACACTTATCGATCAATAGGTGCGAGCGCACTGTCGCAAAAGAGATAGACAATCAGAATCGGGTAATGGAGAGAGAGCCCGAGCGACTGAGATGAATGAATTGAGTGGAAAATTATGTGAAGTCGGTGCTCATGTGAACAGCGTATGTAACATGACAACGTTTGTCTACTTTGTTCGATACGCGAAAAGTATTTGCTTTCTCGGCGGCCCGACGACGACGACGACGACGACGACGACGACGACGACGACGACAACGTTTTATTGTGTGTTGACGACAGCATGATTTGAGTTTGTGTGTCATTCATATACGCCGTTTATGACGACACTTGATACAGATTCATTAAAATGACTACGGCGAATTTGAGTTGGTTTTTTTTGGGGTATTCGGCATTCACACACTATCCAGATCTAATAACAATATGCGTCAGCAAAATTCAGCCACACATATTTTTGGAACGATCTAACTAATCTATTGTTGCTATCATGTCGATGGCCAACGTTGCACGAAATTCAAACGGAGGACTAGACGGAGGATTCCCATTTTTATTCGTATAAACATACATTGTTTTGGTTAGGTTTGTTTTACGCTCTGATCGTTACGTATGTCACAATGGACCGCGATTATCAATCTCTCATTCTAATAGTGTCCTTGCAAAGACACATATCGCGAGCGGTGTCTCTGATCGCGTAAGATGTTTTTTCAGATGCTAGATGAACGTGGTTCTGTTATGAGATACATTTAAAATGAAAATCATATTCGGGTTTTAACTGGTAACACATTAAATGATAACCTAAACAATCAGACCTTTGAACAAAATCACGTTCATTCTACCAGATAAACTATCAGCTCGTGATGCATTGTTATCGCGTGCTGTTGCCGCCTTTTGCTCTGTTTACATACATGTTCAATATATACACACACAAAAAATGTGATGTGTAGCCAATGAAAATAGAGAGAGAGAGAATGGCACACGATTATTCAACCAAATTGCGGTATTATTGTGAAGAGAATTATTCATTTTATTGTTATTTGTATGGCAACACGTCACATTCTCGGCAACGTCTATCGCATTTTTATGAATGGAATGACTAATTTATTGTTTTATCGCCGTCTATCTCATTTTCTCACTCATTTGCTATGCACGCTCGTTGCTTTTCCGACTCGTTTGCTCTTTTTCTCACCTTTTCTCCGCATTTTGATCGCACAGCGCGCCCATGATAACGAACACAATTCGAATGCATATGCGAATTGCAATTGTGCATTCGTTATTATCATCAATATCCAGCCAATTTGCACTTGCAACGACTGGCATTGACACTGACTCACATTATGTGACCAAGTGATGAGCGCAACTGATTTTACTCGTTTATTCTGTTATTCAATCGACTTTGTTTTTTCACAACAAGAAATGAATAGAGCCACTCAATTGTTACGCTGAGATTTGAGTTGAAATGGAGCAACGGACTATTCTCCGTTGAAATTATAATGATGTTATTCAATGTTTGACAATCCAAATGCGTTTAATGAGTCAAGCCGTGCTTTGAATTTGAATCTCTGGAAATCCAAATTAAAATCTAGATTTTGTTTTTTTTTTGCTTAGAACAAATTTTCTATTATATCCGCAGCTTTTACTTCCGTATTCTTTTAGCTATTAAAACGTTGAGAATGTTCTTGCAACCGACAAAAGCCGTCACATGTTTAGTCATTTATTTTCGTCACACAAATACCAAGTTTTTGTGATTTGCAAGAGAGAAGAAAAAATCATTTTGCAAACATCGTTCGTAATTCATTGCGAATAATACAAATTAAGAAAAACACAAGTGAAAAATGTCATGTTGGCATCGTTGCCAAATCGTCTGGCTAAGTGTCTCTTTAACCTGCTTGAAATTGTTTAAACACTTGAAATTCGCAATTTCGTCATTTCGAACGAAAGCCAAAGGACACACATTCTTTTCGAGTCATTTCAAATGGTCACGTTTCACAAATGGGACTTATTTTTTTCGCAGTATCTCTTCGTGGAAATTGATCAGACGTCATGTTCACCAATTTGTTCGTCGAGAATGTTGATTTAGCATTCATTAAAAATGTCAGTATTTTCATTCATAGGTAATCAGTGAGTTGCAATGGCGGCAAGGTTTCGCAAAGTTGGCGTAACAACACTCGGTGCATGCGCTGGCTTAGGCCTCGCTGGATGGGCATTGAATCCATTCGACAGACAATATGCAGTAAGTTTCTATTGCTTTGAATCGCAATTGAATTCAAATTTGAATTGTGATTGAGTTCTAGTCGCCTACGACTTCGAATCAATTTTGATTCTTTGGAACCCTTTGAATCTTTCATTTTTGAAGCCATTCATTTTTCTCATTTTCAAATCGATTCAAACCGAATTGGATTGAAAATAAGACAAAAAAAAAAAAATTGAACCCAATTCTGGTTTAAAAGCGAATTTATAAGTAAATTCCCACAGAGGGAGAAATTAGGTTGGTACGATTGCAGACGTTTGATTGATGACGTTTGGAATACGTCGAAAAGCAACTTATTTTCTCTGACGGTTGCGATTTGTCCAACTTTTTTGTAATTCTGAAAGGGTACTTCACAACCGCCATATAAAAAAGTTGCTTTTTAACATATTCCAAAAGTCATATGTAATCGTACCAACCTAATTTCTCTCTGTGCGTGCATTCAAATGTTTTCGTCTTGCTTTTGTTGCACAGAATGTAAATGCAGCCGCAATAGCAACGCCGCGGGTTAAGCGAAAGCTTCCTCCACGTTCTGAACAGGTGAAAACGTTGCAAAGTGGCGAAGAGTACGACGTAATCATCATTGGTGGTGGTGCAACTGGTGCTGGATGTGCTCTCGATTCTATCACAAGAGGTATGCAAATTAGCGTTTTTTCTCTATTTTTTTTTTCTTCATTTTTTCCACTTGTGTTTTCATTTTCTCGTTTTTCGTTGAAATTTTGAATTTTTTAAATTCATTTCTGAATTTGGTTTTTACTCATTCATTAAACATTCATCTCAAGTTTTAAACAAATCATACATGATTGATTGTGATGCAAAATTACACAAATTTTCCAAAGAAATTCTAACAATTTCATTTCAATTTTCCAGGATTGAAGACGGCATTGATTGAAGGAGATGACTTCGCAAGTGGTACATCGTCGCGATCGACGAAATTGATTCACGGTGGTGTGCGTTACCTGCAGAAAGCCATTTTGGGTGTATGTTTCAAATCGATTTTGTTCATTTTGCTCAGTAAAAATCTAATCATGCTTTTGTTATTGCGAATTTGTTTAGGCTGACATTGAGCAGTACCGAATGGTGAAAGAGGCTCTTCATGAGCGAGCATCGATGTTGCATTCGGCACCACATCTAACACATCCCATCCCAATAATGTTACCGGTGTACAAGTGAGCAACAAAAACATTTTTTTTTCAGCACATTTTTTCCTTTGCATGATTTTCTTTTTTAAAAAAATCCTGAACAAATTTTGTCTGAAAAGAAATGTACTAACTTGAATAAATTTTGTCTTTCCCCACTATCCAGATGGTGGCAGCTTCCATACTATTGGGTCGGTATAAAATGCTACGATTTCGTTGCTGGCGATCGAAATGTAAAGAGTTCCTATGTGCTGTCGAAAAATAATGCGCTCGAACTGTTCCCAATGTTGAAAGGTGATAAATTGGTCGGTGCCATTGTCTACTATGACGGTCAACAAGATGATGCACGTATGAATTTGGCGGTGGCATTAACGGCAGCTCGTCAAGGTGCAACCGTCGTCAATCACACCGAAGTCACATCGTTGCTGAAGAAAAAGAACGAAGAAGGCAAAGAGGTGCTGTGCGGTGTAAAAGTGCGTGACACAATAACAAACAAACAATGGGAAGTAAAAGGCAAGTGTATCATCAATGCAACTGGCCCATTCACCGATTACATCCGTAAAATGGACGATCCAAATGTGAAAACGATCTGTTGTCCAAGTTCCGGTGTTCACATCGTATTGCCTGGTTACTACAGTCCACAACAAATGGGTTTGCTCGATCCATCGACATCCGATGGTCGTGTGATCTTCTTCTTGCCATGGCAAAATCAAACAATTGCCGGCACCACCGATTTGCCATGCGATGTGACCCACAATCCGAAACCAACCGAAGATGAAATCGAATTCATTTTAACCGAAATCAAAAACTATTTGAACTCCGACGTTGAAGTGCGTCGTGGTGATGTGTTGTCGGCATGGAGTGGCATCCGTCCATTGGTATCGGATCCAAACAAAGAGGACACACAATCATTGGCCCGGAATCATATTGTGCACGTAAGCCCATCGAAACTGGTGACAATTGCCGGTGGCAAATGGACAACATACCGTGCCATGGCCGAACATACAATGGACGCAGCGATCAAAGCATGCAATTTACAACCGGAAAAAGAGTCTTGCCAAACCGATGGTATGCTGTTGGAGGGTGCTCATGGTTGGACACCAACCATGTACATTCGTTTGGTACAGGATTTCGGTTTGGAATGTGAAGTTGCACAACATTTGGCACAATCGTACGGTGATCGCGCATTTCCAGTCGCTAAAATGGCATCGCTCACCGGCAAACGGTGGCCAATCATTGGTAAAAAAGTTCATCCCGAATTCCCATACATTGATGCCGAAATTCGTTATGGTGTACGTGAATATGCATGCACTGCCATTGATATGATTGCTCGACGCTTGCGTCTCTCATTTTTGAATGTACAAGCCGCACAAGAAGCATTGCCCACCATTGTTGACATTATGGCCGAAGAATTGAACTGGTCCAAAGAGGAGAAAGAACGGCAAATCAAATCGGCCACCGAATTTTTGACCAACGAAATGGGACAGTTCGTGAATCGGGCATCACGTGACAAAATTCCGATTAATCTATCGAAAGACGAAATTCAATTGTACATTAAACGATTCCAAATCATCGACGCAGAGAACAAAGGATACGTGTCAATCAACGATATTCGACGTGCACTCAAGGTAAGTCGTTTTGGTGGCCAGTCAAACGCCGTGGCCGAACGTAGAAAATGCTTTGTTTTTGGATTATTTTCAGCCGACAAGCGAAACGAGGATCAAATTTTTCTATAAATTCTCTCGATTCCATTCAAAGATCGTCTCTTTTTTTCCGCACTTCAACATTTTCAATGCATTTTTCAATTTCGCATTGTTTTTGTCCATGAAAATTAATTTCGATTCGATTTAATCGGAAATTTTGCATCGTTTTCGAATCGTTTTGATTATGATTCGCATCGTTTTTAGTTGTGAATTTATCCAATATCGATGCATCTATGTAGTACCATGGTACTGGACAGAAACTATCAACTGTTAGCCAATGACAGTTACTGCTATCGTCATAAATCAAAAAATTGCCTTCGTCAAATTCAATTTTATCACTCATAATTATCGGATTGGCTCATATTGGCTTCCGGAGTCACATTTTACTTCCAGCATTGTCTCCACCGATGAATGTCTAACGAAATATTTACATGAAAAACAAAAATTGAAATTGCATCTTTCGCATTCACATTTAGAATATTGAAGGGATTACGGTAAACGACGAAAATCTGCATGAGCTACTCAAAGAAATCGACGTCTCGTACAACGGTCGATTGGAAATGTGGGACTACTTCCAGGTTGGTAAAGGAATGCAACAGCAACGAAAGTGATTAGCTCACACCATATTTAGACAATACGAACTGCAAAACACTGCTTTCGAACTCTTTCTCATTTGGCGCCACTCACAGCATAAATGATGTGATGCGAAAAAGGATAGAAGAAGAAAAAGAAAATCAAGGGGGGCTTTAATCAGTTACATTCGTTCCATCGTTTTTTTTCACATTCAATTTCACAAATCACCGGTTTTTTTTCTGGGACGTTTTCCTAATCACAGCAGATCTTAGACAAAGAGCATAGATAGCTAAAATGCAGTTCATCATCGGTTTCATCAGCGAATCAGGCCAATTTCACAACATCGTTCAATGGTCACTATCGCCGCGAATTGTAGAATAGGACACGTGAAATTTGGGATAAAAAAAATGGATTCTTTTTAAACAAATGGGTTAATTTTCATCAATTCACACGATTCATTCAAAACGCCATTTCCATATCAAATGAACAAACATCTCTTCTTTCTTGGCTACTTGATCCTGGTTCTTGTCGACTTGTTTTTCGGCCGTTTTTTTGGTTTAATTTTTACATTTTTTTGATTTTGGATTGAAACTACTCTACAAAACAAAACAAAAATCGCCTCAATTCTTATACCATTTAGAGTTTCGGTGATGCTGAGGTATCTGGTGAAGAATTGCATGAAATTCTTCGTGAAATCGATACAAATATGAACGGTCAGGTCGAACTCGACGAATACTTACAGGTTGGTAAAATGCAAACACACGACGTTAGTCGTTTAGACACAAAATCGAGGCACATGACAATCCTCTGCTTACGACATACACCCACACTTAATACAGACAAGACCGAGAGACACAAGCCTGTTGCAATTTAAAGAAAAAAATACACACATCTAAATTCAAATAATCGAATGACCCATTGATTGCAAATCTGTACTAATTTGATTCCCCTTTTTTATTTCAACTATTTTGACTTTATTTGATGCAACAAAACACTCTTTTCACGTTTTTACTGTTTGTTCCACTCAATTTTTGATATTAGTTGACATTGTGAAATCGATTTTCGATTGGAACTTGACACATAAATGACAACTGATTTCTTAGCCATTGTTTGCACCTTGTTATTGCACTCTTTTTCCCATGTAGTTTCTTTTCGATTATTTTTGTCTTGTTTTTTTTTGTCATTTTGAACTCTCATTCAAAGAAATTGTTCGTAGTTTGAATTATTTTCATTGGATTTGCCGAAAGTTTTCTTAAAGGACATGAAAAAATGCCATTTTTGAAACGAAACTCTTGATCAAAATTAAAGAGTTAAAAATTAAAGCCATGAATTGATCCATCAATCAGTCAAAACAGTCAAAATTTTCGATTTTTGTATATAAATGCACGTTTAAGGTAAAACACACCAATCGTTCACCGTCAAATTGGTTTCTATTATTTATGGTCAATTTATTTTTTGTATTGGTTGCACCTCAGTCTCTGTGGGGTTATGTGCTAGATTTTAGTTCATATATTTCTTCGTATCGAAGGTATTCAGATCAAATGTATGAATTTTATCAGAAAATTCATTTCTAATCATTCATTCATGTTCTTCTGAACGAAAACAATTCTTTTTTCTTACTTATTCATCGATTTTGTTGATACATGATTGTTTGTTTTACAATGTTTTTGAAACATCGTGTTAGTTACACTTTGAAATTCGGTATTTGAATCACAAAAAAACCACAGAAAAGAACGATATTTTTGAATTTATTGCCGAAAAAAGAATTTTTGGATAGAAAAATACCTTAATTTGATCTGAATCTGTCAAGTTGAAGTGAAAACTCACCTTTGGTTTCGAATTGAAGAAGATCAAATCCTTGGAACCTGCCAAAAGGCACAATTTTCATGTGGCCAAATACGCATAACGTGGTAATTTAGTTATTGAAATTGAAATTAAGTTGAAATTCGTTTTCTTTGCCAAAAATTTGCTTTTTTCCTCCAAAAATTTGCTTTTTTCCTCCAAAAATTTGTTATTTTTCTGCAAAATTCGTCTTTTCAAATTTCGAAAAGGAAATTGGTTGTTTGCACGGTTAATAAATAGTACAAAAAAGGCTTAGCGGGTGCTAAGAATCGATCAAAATTTATGCATGAACGCTGAAATGGGAATTCAATGCGAATTTTTGCATTATGATTCAATTTCCAGCGTTTATATTCTCTTTTTCAAATTTTACTAAAAAAAAAAATAAAAATAAAATAGTTCAAAATCGAATGAATCTAACGAATGTATTGGCCTATTAAGTTGATTTTATATCCGGTATTTGGAGCACAACAAACTAATTAAACCAAAAATCCATATCATTTGCTCGCTTAACTAAAAAAAAACCACACCAAAACTTGCATGAACTAATCTAAAAAACACAAAAGAACGAAAGGAATGATATATGTAGTCAGTAATTGTTCGAAAATAATAGGTTTTAAGTAAAAATCACTAAAGTTTGCTCAATTTTAATGCAAATCCTTGTAGTTGAAGTCAAATGCTAATGCAATTTTTTTTTCTGTTCTTCTACGAATGAACGTGCGCGATGCAAATAGATGATGTCGGCAATCAAATCGGGTCACGTGGCCTACTCTCGATTCGCGCGAATGGCTGAATTGGAAGAAGAGAAGCACGAAGTGGAAAAACTCAAGAAGAAGATCACCGTTGATCGTTCCGGAGGTGGACTGTAGAGAACAAAACATGTGCAAATCAAAATCAATCGATTTTTAATTAAGATTTTTAAACGTACGAAAAAGCGAACACAATTTTTTTCAATCCCACATTTTTCCTGTCTCCACATACGCACACACACACACTCAAACAACAACAACATTTGATCTTTACAAAAAAAACACATAAAATGCTAAACTTTCTAAATAACGTTTTTTATTTCTTTTCTTCTGACAAAATTAAGAATGTGTCGACACAAAATGTGTGTGTGTTTATGATTACCATTAAATTGTATGAATATAACTGAAGAAATGAACAAAAAAATCAACAACAAACAAAAAATCGCGCATAAAAGTCATATTTATCAGGAATCAAATCCTTTGTAATTTTTAACTTGTCCAAAAGTGACCGACGACCAGTGGGTCGCGGTCGTGGTTTACAATCATATATGATATAGATATATAGCCATTAACGGCAAATAAACAATAAAAGAAACATGATGATAAATGAAATAAGACATTAGTACTTATCAGTGGATTTATTTATGGTCTTTCATTTGTTTTTTTTCTTGTTTTTCGTTTGTGTTACGTATTGATGTGAAAATTATTGTAGAAAATCGTCTTGAAATCGGGTAAATATTGTCAATAATAAATCATATTTTTTCTCTTGTTGATACACCATATCTTTTTACTTTGTACCTAGCTTGTTTAATAATTTCGGGAGGCAGTTTACGTTTGATTAGATAGAAAAAGTCACACGAATTATAAATCATTTCCTGCAGGAAAAGGATTTACTAAACGAATATTAAGCTTTCTTTTCCACTTTTTTCACATTCAAATTCTTCATCCCACTCAATGATTCTCACCTTCTTTTTGATATTTGAACGTATTTTTTTCGTCATTTTCAACACTTCGAGGTGGATGGCTCTTTGAAAATCTGAGAATTCTGTTCAAATTTTGCATTTCATGGAAATTTTCAATTAAATTCCAAGCCAATTTCGATTCAACTTCAAATAATTCATTACATACTATGTAGATAACATTTTTCTGGATTTTGTCGGTCTTATTTGAGAATCTGAGCATTTCTTGAAAATTCATCGATTAAAATTTTGTTCGACCAGAAGAAATATTCTTGACTTTCACCAATTGAAGCTGTTTAACTCTAAGAAATTTTTGATGGAATTTAAACATTTTCTATACGCTCTGAATGAGATTTGTCAAAAAAAGAAGAAAAAAATGGCCAAGAGAAAGGTGGCCTTATTAATTTTGGACAAGACAAAGCTGATGTAGTTCTTAGAATCCACCAAAAATACCGAAAAGTGTTATTGCTCTTGGAATCCCCTTAAAATGTTCAATTTCATTCCTTTTTTGAAGTTGATTTTTCAAAGTTTAGTCCAGTCTCAAGAAGAAATAACAATTCTGCAATCCAAGGAAAAATAACTTGAAGGTAATTATCGAAAAATTTGCGTTTTCGCGAAAACTTTGGTTCACACCGCAAAATTGAAGGCTTATTTTCTGCTGTTTAGATCTAAATCTATGCATTTGGTATTTACTTCAATATACCAAGAAAGTTTCGTTGATTTTATGCATTATTCCGCAGGGAAATTTGGACAAAAGAAGAGTGCTAGATAAGCAATGAACATTTTTCACACTTTGCAGGTGGAAAGTTATGGAATTTTCATTCATAGACACCTATCATTTTAGGGAAAACTAAAAAAAACATCGAAAAGCATAAGAAAATGAGTGAAAAATGTCAAAGGAGACGAAAAAGGCTAAGAAAATGGTAAACGAGCGTAGAGTAATTCCTCTTCAGAAAGAAGAAGATATAGTTCCAACTGTGGAGTCTACGGTGTGGGCCAAAACTGCAATTAGAAACCAGTGTTTGCCGATGATTGGAAGAAGGTGGGTGCTGTTCAAACGATTCGTGATGATTCGAAAACGCGATGAGTGTTGCTGATTTTGGAACTGAATCACAATGTTAAACTATCGTCAAATTTGTTGGGGAGTTGAAAATTCTCATTGAAAATATTCGAAGTTGTTTTGGAGGATGTGTGTATTTGATTTTGGTATGGAAACCGTCACACACACACAAACACAGTGGGCTGTGAGAGTAAACCCCCATATCGTTTTTGTGTTACTTAGTAGCTTTATGTTCGACTTGGTGTTGCCGTCAATCGTCACATTCCTTGTGGCAGTGTTTTTCATTCGTTCGCTCTTCTCTTTCTCTCTCGTTCTTGCTCCTGTTTTTGTGTCCATTTCTCGTGGGCTGCTTTCACTCAAATTCCCCGTCCCGTTCTCACTTCCATTCATTCGCTTTGGTTCTGTTTCTCTCTATTCGCTGCACAGTGCACACACTTGGTCTCTTCCCTTTTCCGTATCGCATCCACATATTCGTTAGTACGGTCGTTTGCACACACATCGAGAGCGCGGAGCGGAGAGAGCAGCAGCAGCAGCAGCAGCGTCGTTGTTGTGCGTTTAATCGATTCGTGTTACGCTGTGTGTCTCCCGTTGTGCATGTGGGTGTATGTAGTTGTGGGATTTTTAAAGCCCATTCTCGTAGATAAAGTGAGTGAGCGAGTGAATGACTGAGTGAAAGAGAGCGAGAAACGCGGCGTGCTTTTGTGTTTGGAACAGGGAACGAAATTTTTTCGTCTACTACCTCCTGTGCACAATCAAACCTCTCTCTTGTCGAATAGGCCACCCTCACAATTTACGATGAGCGTATTCCAATTTTGTGTCTTTCCTTCGTTTCACCATTCACTTTTGCCCTTGCTTATCTTGCAATCGTTTGAATGGTCGGCGCTGATTAAACGAATGAACGAATCCACCGATGAGAAAATCAAACACACGTGTTTCTCTTCAATGAACAACACCAGATATTAAAACATGTTTTATTTGCTCATTTCAGCTCTTCTTACTCCGACTACATTCGACTTTCTGTATTTTGCGTGTACACATCCTCGTCTCGTGAATCTATATTTATTCGAGGAAATCAGCGTTTTAAAAACACACGCTGCATTAATTAGGTTTTGCTTTACAGCCCAGTCATACGCCTTCGATACGATTTCCTTTTGCGTGCCTCTCTCTCTCTTATTTGTTCTGGTTTTTTCGTGTTCTTCTTGTTAATTCTGGCGCTTCCTTCATTCTTACACCTTTCATTCGCGGATACGATACTTGCCATGGCTACACAATTTCATATTCACATTAAAAACGATGGGCGATGCACATTCCATGCAGGCGTTTTTGATGATTCAATGGAATTGCTGCTCTTTTTTCTCTATCTCCCTCTCTTTGTCTGTATTTCTTTCTCTATCTCTCTTTACTTTTCATCAATTCTTGGATTAATAAAAACAAGAATAAGAATAATCTCCTTCTTCGGGTGTTCCATCCATTGATTTTCGAGCAGTATATCATTATTTTCACTGAATATCTCATTAATGACGCAAATTTTTTCGAAGTAATCCATGTACTTTTCGTTGAAAATGTTTTTCCATTCACGAAACAATACGCTGTTATTACGCATTGTTAGAATTACATATAAATGAATTCAGTCACTTGAAATGCAATCTTTGAATTCAATCGTTATTTCCGCGTATGATTGGAGTGATGAAATATTTCGCTTGGGACGAAAATTGAATAGAACGAATGACTTTCTTCGTTACTTTCAAGTGCTTAATGTGAAACACGCAGTTAAATAAAAACATTGAGCTGTTCTTCCATGTGTCATTTAAAAGGAATTCAGTGAGATTTGCTTCAAAAAATGATTTGGTATTCCGTTCAGCAAGAAGCTGTTGATGATGAAAAAGCGGAAAAAGAGGAAAAAAGCAAGGCACGGCTCTCTTTTCGACTTTCTTTTATTGTAAAAAGAACTTTAAGCAGATTTTCCCTTCTTTATTCAGCACTAGTTTAATATTGATTTCGAAGAAAATTAAATTGAATCGAGAAAAAAAAACAAATGAAATTCAAATCGAATCAAAACAATTGTCTAGTTCACACCTGAAAATCAAATCCTATTCACATATCCATGGATCATTTTCCGCTGAAATAGTCTCATATTTAGGAGAGTCTTTCGAATGGGTTGTGATTCAGACAGTATTTTCTGGTTGGTTTTAGTTCAGCCACCTCTGCAAGAATTCGTTTCCCGCCAAGTGGCAACGGTCTAACAGGTCGAACCCAGATTCGGTGTTTGGGGCGACCAAATTTTTAATAATTGTGTGGGCTAAAAAAGAAGGTGGCAATGAGGTAGATCCTATTTGGTGCACACATGCAAAAATCAAGCAATGTGCTCGCCTATGCGATGAGAGACGAAGCGTCAAACGGTTTGAGTACATTATATGATGGGCGATACGAGAGGTCCAATACCACACTTGGTGTACGCGATACCACACACAAACGCACACACTCCCGTACACTCGTTCTCGCTCACTCTATCGTCGCTGCTAAGCAAAAAAACCCTGCTCTACATATAGTTTACATTTGGGTGGCATGACGGCAGAAAAAAAAGGAAACGCGAAATGCAGTTCAACGTGCGTCTATGATATGCGTGCGTGCAAACTTTCACAAACAATATCGTGCGTATGTTTTAATTGAATCGGCGTTTGTTGCTGCTGCTGCTGCTGTTGTTATTATATTGTTTAAAAGAAAGAACCGCCCCATATTATGAGACACTCGCTCGCTTAATGATTTGCAACTAACTCCGAAATGGAATTATGTTCTGATGGCCGGTCGGCTTCAATTCGCTCTCTCCGGTCTATTCATTTGTGCGTGTTTTTTTTTTTCGTTCGGAGGAGAGAGAGAAAGAGAGAGAGAGCGAGATTGAGACATTAAATCCCAATTCAAAGGATGTTCTGATAGCAATCTTCAAATGAAAATTCATTACACGTACACACCGTGTGTGTTCTTTCCATTGCGAGAGAGAAAAAGCGGCGTAGTTTCAAATGCCCAGACGATGACGACAAACGAGAAACGGGTTGCCAAATCGAAATTCATTTCCCGACAGCGATTCAGTTGGCTTAACGAATTAGATGCCGTTGAATGGGTAGGGCACAATCGTACACGCAATTGTTTATATGTGCATACATTTTGTGTCGATTGCCAAAGCCGAGCCTCTCGCCTCAATAGCGATTTGCTGCTTTTCATTTCCCAACATTGCTATTGTGTTGTTGCTGATGATGATATTACTATTGCTGCCCTTGCTGTTGTTATTACCTCTTCACAAAGTTGACACAATGCTGAGCTCTGTGGAATAGTCCACCTTGTTTTTGCTTGAAGTTTTTTTCTCGGGATTTTTGAAAAAAAAAAAAAACAAGAAACACCGTGAACGAAAGTACAGTTTTCAAAGCCATGTGTTTAACATGTTACTGGATTTCACGAGGGTTTTCGAACAATGCAACTTTTTCGAGGGTTCCAAACAAGCCAGCGAAAAACAAAAATTCAACGTGCCACTAACGAAAAAAAAGGGTAGATAGAGTCGAATCGGTATATTTTCATATTTTTTACGGCGTTTATATGACGATGCAAAAGATTAAGTTATAAGCGATTCTGTGCAAAAGGGAAATATAGAAAAAACAACAGCAAACAGCCAAAGGTTTAGACCATAAAACCGATGATCTGCATCATTAGGGTTAATGTGCAGAGATAGAAAAAAAACAACGATTGCCCAGGTATAATGCGGAAAAAACACGGATTTTATGGCATTTTTTTTCCCAAGAAAACACAAAGTACCAATTACATTTGTCAAAATACAGAAACCAATCTGCAATCATAAAACTAAAAATTACCGAAAATTCGACTGAAAATCCATGCATTTCCATAGAATATGTGATTAAACGAGTGAATTGTTTGAAATGTGATGGTAAAAGTGAGGCAATCACAGCGTTCTCAAATTTATTTAAACAAAAAAAAGGTATGTTCATCGAATGAAAACCTATAATTTTCGTTGTTGTTGGTAGCGAGAGCGAGGCGTTCATATTCCGTTCACTGGCTTCCTTCTCTAATCACGCTCGACGAAAATTGGGAGTTTGACAAAAGCGAATCTCATTCTCATGTCTCAAATTTGTTGGTGGCGTTGGTTTTCTCGTTCGTTGGTCGAATATTCGAAGGAGCGAATGAATTGAGTAAGTCAACCTAGAGCGGGAGCGGGAGTGAGAGCGACAGCAAGAGAGGAAGTGAGAGTGAGCGAGCAAGCAAGAGAGGGAGAGAGAGCGTGAACACACAAAACGAGCCCAGTTGAAACATTTTTACAACAAATGGGTGGTTTATTTTGGTGTGGTATGTAGAATTTTGTCGAGGGTCTTTTTGCCTGCGACGAAACACACAGGCCGACACACACGGTTTTTCTTCTGCACACCAAACCCAAAAACGCTAGTATAAATTGTGTGTTTGATTTGACTGGCGCTGGGTTTGGGTTTTCGTTTTTTTGGCCGCGTCTAGTTTTGCTACAGAGTGTGTTGTAAAAGGTTGCCGCTCCGCTATACGACCTGATGCTATCGTTTGAATGGATAATACAAATACATCAGAGAGCGGCGACGGCAGCAGCAGCAAATGGTTTAAAATACGCCAGCAGGCGAAGCACATCAATGTTGGAAAATTATGAAACGACGGCAACAATTCAACGACCGTAACAAACAAGCGAAACATCGAACGAATTTCGCATTATTTTATTCTCGAGTTTTTCGTGTTTCGGGTACGAGAGACCAACCCAAACGCTATTTCAGTGTAACCAGCCTATACACACATGTGTATTGAAAAAAAAAAACAAGTCACCAAGGCAGCCGACGAGCAACGTTGAAACGTTGGAAAGCGTTCAAATGTTTTTACACAATCGACGAATGTAGTGGTGTGTTCACCTCCTCGAATACAAGCACAGTGACGTACATGCTTCATCGTTCATGTTTTTTGGGTAAATGTAGAAAATGTGACATTGGTGAAGAGAAAACTCCATGAAATTGGGACTTTTTTTTCTAAGAAAAGGGCTATTTATGAAGACGATAAGGTCTTTAGGCGATGAACAAAAAATTGACTAAAAAATTGATACTAATCAAATTTGAATCACCAAAATGATTGAAGCAAATGAATGACTCAAACATTTCATTGTCATAGGGGGCTTTGGTACGCCACTGGATTTGTGGCTGGCTTGAACTCAAATCGATCGTAAATGAATACGGTCGTATACATGGAAACGCACAAATGTGAGTCGATAGTGTCGACAACAAAGCAAAGCGACGACCTCTTCTTCACTTTATTCGGCATTCGAAGGCAATCTTCATTCTCTCTACCTCTGTGTTCCCCGTTGTGTGTGCCGCGGCCCGTGTGTATCAGTGCATATGTGTACGCATAAGTGAGTGTGCGTTCACACAAGCCGTATTCGGTTGTTGCTGCCGTTATAGTCAAGTACAAAGGCGGTTGCATATGTATTAGCTGCGGTAACCACCGCTGGCTTGACTTTGCTCGTACACATCGTATGTGTTTGCGTGTGTGTGTGTATTTGGTTCTCGTTCGTTGTCGCATCGGCAATGTTCGGTTAACACACACCATTGCACGTACGGGTGTTCGCCCAACATCGGGCTGGTTTAACAAAATTTCCAACATTTAACCGACCTACCTACCGATCGAAACTAAACATCGTGCTCACTATTCGAGGCAGCGCGTAGATGGAAACAACCATATGCCGTTTTCTGTTCGCTCAGTGTTCCGTTCTCTGTGTGTGAGACATTCTTCCCATTTGTGTGGTGTGTTTTAAATTTATTATACCGGATTATTATTATTATTATTTCTGTGAGTCGTGTCTCTCCGTTTCTCGTGCTCAGAGAGAGAGAGAGAGTGAGTGAGTGAGGGAGAGTGAGAGCGAGTGAGTGTTTGGTTGGAGCAAGAGTGCCCGTTGGCATATACCCATAATAAAGGCGACCCGAGACGAGTGTTCGGTGTGTGTTTAACGAAACAAGCGAATGAGACACATTGATAGCATAGTCGTCGTACAGTTGGCGCTGTTCATCACATTCTCATGGTAAATTTTTACACTTAACAAATCCTATACGTATATTTTGCATTGACTCTACTAACGGCAGAGACACAAACAATGAGAGAGAAAGAGAGAGCGAACGAACGAGAGCATTTCATTGTCGTCGCTCTCTCCACGATACACGAATACAACTTTTTTTTCTTAGTGTGTGGATTCGTTTGAAGAAAACGTATGAAATGAAAATAAATGGAAAAAGAAGAAGTAGATTTATCAAAACATAAGAGATTTACCGAAATCCAGCACAAAATCAATCAAACGTCCACAACAAAGAGATAGAGAGACAACTTTTGTGAACACAGTCTCTTTCTCTGCTACCCAAATGTATTCAATGAACTTTTGATTGTTGATGTGAACGAGTGTCAATATCGAAAATCATATGGATCACATTTAGCTTTGCTTTTGTATGAACACATTTCTATATTTGACACATACACACTCAGTTTGTGAAATTGCCCAGCCGAACATTCATTTCCATATTGGATTTCGACGATTTTTTATCATAAGTATCATAATTGAATTTATTCACATGCAACAATTCAATAATGTAATTGATGGATACCCAAATGCGCACTTTTTAATAATGAAATCAACAAAACGCAATCGTAATCGACTCGAGCGAAAGTCACGACTCAATTAATTTTGCTCAGAAATGCATCGTTTTTTGTGTTTGAAATTGTTTTGGACTCTTTTTTTTGTGGTCAAAAATTACAATTTGGAATCAATTTTACGAACTTTCAATGAATTTTACGAATTTTTAACCAATTCAAGCAAAAACAAAATTAATATGTTCATCAAAAATATTCATTACATTTCATCCATCTTGAACAATTCAAAAAAAAAATTAAGAAAAAATGTAAAATTTCTACCCAACAAATGGAAACAATCAAAATCCGAATATTTCAAACAATTCTTCGTCTTGAAGATAATGCTTGAATTTTTCCGGAATTTGTTGCTTTTGCGATTTAGCCGATGTTTTCTTCTCGTTCGAGAGTTTATTCAGGCAGTTTAATTGAGACTGTAACACACAAAAATACCAACATACTGTCAAATTGGTTACTTTGTTGACATTACACATATTTCAAAGTGAAGTGTAATGGTTCAAGTCAATAACAAATTCGGTCTGATCTAAAACAGAAATGATTTTAAATCATGAATTGACAAAAGGAACGCTAGTCTTACATATTTCTTTCGATAAAATATCGAGTTAATTTTGGTAATTTTATTTTATTTTCTGTCCTTGCAGAGAGCATGAAATATATTATGGAATAGCCGAGATAAAGTACAGAGAATGAAAAGTGAAGCAGCAGCAGCAGCCGCAGCAGTAGTAGTAACAGCAACAACAATAACAAATCTGCCAAACGTAAAATAGCTAAACATAAGCTGAATAGAGAGAGAATGGAATAGTGTGTTGCGAAGAAGAGACATTCGGTGTTGTATTCATGTGTATTTTAGTGTCGTTTGCTCTCTCATTGTCCGCATCGCAACGAAGGCAGCAGCAGCAGCAGCAGCAGTAATAAAAACATTTACGGGACGTAGTGTGTAAAATCGAGGGAGAGAGAGAGAGAGAGAAAGAGAGAGAGAAACCGAATATATTCGGCACGGTAACGCTTGCTACTACGACACCCATACCATTGCGTTCATGGGCATAATCGGCAAGTGAGAGAGAGTGAGTGCTGCATACGAGATTGCGAGCATTTGTGAAGCGGCAAAAGTGTTTTAACTGTGTTGGTGCTGTGTGTATCGTAAAAGTGAACGCGCGCGTTTGTTGTTGTTGCTTTGACATAAACAGCGCGCTGTAAATGTGAGAGACACATATTATCCGATTACAAAATATTGATGTACTTTGCCTAGACTACAATTGCAAATTGCGAGAATATATGAGAGGAAAAAAGAGAACGAACGAACGAATCTGTGACGCATACACACGCAACGCAACTTTGTAAGAAAAATTACTCGAGAAAGAGCGAAAGAAGGAAGAGAGAGAGAGAGAGTGACTGTAATAAGAAAGAGAGAGCGACTTTTTTGCTTAGCTAACAATAAAAAAAGACGGCGCGAAAAGAACCAAGAACAGCCGATTGTAACAATAAGACGGCGATTTTCTTTGGAGAATAAAAATACCGAACGAATTTCTTCAGATTGTGTGTTTGGCAGACTGGATATTGAATGAGAATCAAGACAAATAAATCACGTAAAAAAATGATCAATGGTGATAGTTTTAAGCAGGAGCTAGCATCCGAATTGGATAATGTGCAGGTAATTTTATCAAATTCCTTTTCTATATCTCGGTTTTGTTTCGATCTTAAGTTGGTTTTTCGTGGCTCATCTCTGTGGCGGCGAATTTTTGAGTGAATGAGAGAATGTGTGAGTATGATGTGTTAAAAAATAAGTCGAATGATTGAATGAAGGATGCATGGTCGTTAAATGAATTGTGTTCGATTGTAGTGAAAATGTAGTCAACTGGTGATGAGTGAATATGCTGTAAATTTTGATGTGTAAATGCAAAACTACCTCTCTGGTATGTGTGCCAATTTTCACGCCGCTGATAAGGATTTATAAACAAAACGGCCGCTGTGACAGTGAACCAAAACAAAGTGAAGCCGCATCGTGTGAGCTCAAACCCAAAATCATCAACAACAACGACGGCCGAAAAGAAAAACACACATAAATGTATATCGTATAGTATTTTAGGGAGGCAGACAAAAAGCAATCGAAAGCATGCAAGTGAAAACGAATGAGAATTACAAACCAAGCCGAACCGAACCAAAAACAAAGAGCAGCGCTTGTGAAACGGGCTCCAACAACTCGAAAAATTGAAGACACACTATTTGTGGGAGTTTCGGCAACGCGGAACGTATTTTAAAATACACGGTGTATTTGTATACACGGTGTGTCGTTCGGTTTGATCTAGAGGGCTCAGCACTGGCACTGCTGGTGCTGCTGCTGCTCACAGACACTCCAAACCGACCGACAACACACCGATAGGGAGAGCGATAGTAGTACCGCCGATATTAAGAGAGAGATATGGGCGGAGGCTCTTAACAATCAAAACGCGCTCACCACTTTCGGTGAACTTGCATGTTTTCACTTGATGCTATTATCAAATATGTTGCCAGGCTGTTTGTTGCCCACTGCCATACATTTTTTTTCTTCTTCTGCTATTCGGTGTTCTTTCGGCTTGTGTTGATATTTCTCATTTGGCCATTCAGTTCAAAGTGTTGATTCAATCGAAATGCACATCTTTTCGTCAATCTCCGTTGCCGTGTGGTTTGGCTCGAAAAATACCCCGTATTTCATTCAAAAGACTCTTCTTTCAGAGTTCTATTCTACTCTTAAATCATTGACTCTTCGGTTTTTGAATTTTTTTTCTTACGAATTTGTCGCATCTTCGGTTTGCCTGGCCGAAAATTGTCTTGCCAAATAAGACACATAGAGAGAGAGAGAGAGACAAGTCAACTCTGAGGAATTTTTCATGTACCAAGTGACTAGAAATTCGGAATCTCAATTCGATACTCTCATCGCATCCGTTCGAGCACTGAATATATATATTTCGTTATTATCATTTTCAATCAATCTGAAAATAATGATGGAATTTAAATGCCTGCCTCAAAGGCCTTAAGTATATTTTTCTACGCGTCTTTTTTTTAATAAGCAAGCGAATGGAGAAGACGAAGCAGAAGAGAAGAGAAGAAGAAGAAGAAAAATGAACGGTCACATACACATATGCATACATAACATGATACGGAGATTGATTTCGTTACACATTTTTTTTCTTCTGTTTTTCCATCGCGTACCAATATTGTGAATGATGTGTTTGTGTGTGTTTTTCTCCACATTCAGCCCAAGCAGCAGCAGCAGCAGCAGCAGCAGCAGCAGCAGCGGCAGTAGCAATCTTTTGGAAATCTAGTTGTTAGCATTTTCATAGTCGTAAACGATGAGGCAAGCGAGAGCCTCACACATGCTCAGCCCGAGTGATGTTAATGTCGAATGTGAATTTAGCGCTTTCTGTTAAATCTAACAACAATAATAATCTATGGAACAATGTATATTTATATATTGAAGCGTATCGCGAGCGCATTTACTGGTCTTAACGAAGATTTTTTGTTTTTTCCTCTTCTTTTTGGTCGGTTGATCGTTTTAGAACGCACTGTCGTTGCGTTTTACTGTACCGCAAACCAATTTTTTGTTCTCGTATATGCATGTAATACAAGATGTGTGTGCCGCCTTAACCGGAGAAAACATCGTTCAATGCATACAACATGTGCTATTTTAGTGTGTCTCTTTGCATCGTTCTCTGTCGATTCGGCACAAACACACTTACGCAGTTAGCAATGCATGCGTTTTTCACCTTTTATGGGAAAACAACGACAGCAACTGCAACAGCAGCCAAATCTATTGTTTTGTTTAGGTCGAACACACATCTTTCCCAACACAGACACACACAAACACACAGACACCAATCCATATCATTCTAATTGTCAATTAATTTTCACTGATGAACCGATGCACTTTTATCCACATTCGGAAGAGCTCTTTCATTGCGTCGCACCGCATTTCTATTACACAATGCACAGCCACAGGCATACACACACTCATAGTGCAACACACTTCCGACTTTTATAGCTCTTTCACCGTTTTGTCTACGTAGTTTCGTTTCATTTTTTTTTTCTTTTCATTGCAAGCCATAAACAAATTTAATTAGTTTTCCAAACGCTCAGGCAATTCGATTTATGTATCGCACACGGGAACATAAAAGAGGCAAGAAAATGAGTGGAAATAGAGAAGAAGAAATAATAAAAAGAGTGAAAACTATAAAGAACTATAAAAAAGATGTGCAAGAATATGCATTTCAAACAGAAAAACATTAGAAGAAAAAATGAAAAAAAAAACTATGAATGTGATTACGACGCTGGCAAAAGAAAACGTCATTGGATAACAGAGAACATTGGACCAATGATTGCATCAAGTCAATTGCTAGACATTTACGGGGATGCGGTGAATAATGCGACAAAAGCCGTTGTTTCGATTCGGTTGTAAAAAAAAGATGATTTTCATAAGCCGCCATAAAAAGCAAGTCGTCGAAGGTCTTCTTAGTGGCAACGCCACACACGAATCATAAAAACAACAGTAGCATTCGTTATTCTATTTTGTAGCAAGATCACAAGATATATTTAATTGAATTGAGAGCGCCGATCGGTATTTGCTCGTAGCGAAACGAAGCTCCGAATCATTTACATATGTATAAATCAAGCGAATGCATAATTGGATGTATAGATATTGCATTGTGCACACGGTACACAGCACACAGCATCGTGAATGCGCTGCTGATAAACACAATCGCATAAAAATGAGTAGTCGTATGCCTCAAGTGTATGTGTGTGTGTACTGTTGTTATTGTTTCTCCATTCGCGCGCGCTCCTTCAATCGCTTGGTGAGAGATGGGAATGTGCGATTCCGATGCACATCAACTGAGGAGGACAAAGCAAATGCAAAAAAAAACAAAATGCTCGCGCTGTGGAAAATGTCCACGGTTGAAACGAAGTCGTGCGCTAACGACAATTTATAGCAGATCAAAAAGATACGATGATGTTTTGACTCTCTAAATAAGGTGAAACACACTCAATCACGGGCCAGCAACACTCGGACCGAACGCAGCGACCAAACTGCATGAAAATTAACGTATGCAATTTATTTCGAATTGTGCACTGGCCGGGTTGCGTGAACCGCAAACGCGCGCGACCATTCGAGCACATAAACCATCTCTTGGACTCTTCTTGAGCATTTTACATTGACAACTGTTTGTTTCGTACCACTAGCTGAAGTTCAACTAAATTTCGCATCACTGCCAACTTTTTGGGTCGTTTTCTCTTCAAGACAATCTCTTGTACCTACAATGCAGGTTTATATTGAAAGATTTGCCGAGTAAATTCAATTCGATGCATATTACAAAACAACGGGATGCTTTTTTCTCCTTGATCGATTTCATCATCTAAGCAAGAGATTCAAGCAGAAGGCAACCGATAAATTGCCAACTTGTGAATATGCAGATAAATGATCGTTCCGTTCGGAACTGTTTATAGCATGCATTTTTGGTTGAATTTCGTTGAATCGCTGACTCAAGTGACGCTGACAAATGTCTTACCATTCCCCAAATCCTTTTCCATGCTGTCTTTTTGCTTCGAGACACGAATTTCGAGTACAAACCAACCAATTTTGGGCGACTCGAATTTGAAACAATATGCAAATAAATCGGACTGGTTAATTGGCTGTGATTGTATCTCACGTGCTTATATTGTATGTACGTGTAGACTATGTTTTTAAACGTGTGTTTTTTTTTCGTTCACATATAAATCATGCATTGTGTTGACCTCCCACTCCAATGGCTACGTCCATGGATGGTGTGTGTGTGTGTGTATGTGCAATTCATTAAATTTTCTACCCCACTCCGATTCAACGGATATAATCGAATTGGTTGGTCAATTAAAATAAAACCACCCCATAAAAAGACTATCGCAAATATTACCACACTCCAACCAGAATTTCGACAAACCGTTTGCGAATTAAATATATATTGTGTGTGTGTGTTTTTTTTCTGCTGGCACGGAGGATGTGCTGTTGGGTAGATGTGTGTACCATGGTGCTACCACCCCAAAACTATACAACGTCTCACTCTCTTTCTCTATCGATTTGACGGTGTAGCAAAATCACAACGACGCATCTGCTGTAAATTCACATGGTTTGCAATTTGCAACCGATAAGAAATAGAAAACAAATGATTGGTGGAGTATGCAAAAGATGGGTGGATTTTTGGATAACACAAACAATAACTCAAAAAATTGCTTGCATGTGCAGAACCAGATTGCAAGTTTAATTTTTCATTCACAAATTCACATAACCGCCGAGCCGAATTCAAATTCTGATCATCGATTTCGCGTTGTCTTCGATTGCTTATCAATTATGTGTCTTCATCTTCGATTTCATTCAAGTATTGTCTTCGAAGACTGGCTTCAATATGCGCTTAGTTAACTATAATGTATACCCGAATTCAGGTATACAACAAAATCAAACCAAATGTTGGCCAGGCAAAATCTGAAAATTAATGGAAGAAACGAGTTTGATTTGAAAAATGATCGCTACATTTGCTTTATCTATAAGAAAATGAATATGATAATAATATGAATAGATTTATCGTGGACATTGATTGATCTGATCATCATTTGATCATTACCCCTAAAATTAGTTGGTTTCCTCCGTATTTGAATATGAATTGTGTCAATTTGTCTGTTTCCCTACCGTTTTGAATGTTTGAAGCTGTGTTTGTTGAAAACTGCCTTTTAATTTGATGTTTGAATGTTTTTTTTTGGATTTTCTAATTATAACAATATATATGTTTTAACTCTTCACACCACCAAAAAAAAAACCACCACACAAAAACAATGCTAAATTTGTAGTTTCCGTTGTTTATTCCCTTTCGATTTTTCTTCTAGATTCGCTCACAAATCTTGTCTAAGTTACCTGTATTGTGACTGAAAACCATACGCGAATGCAACCTATAAACCAATCTAAAATCAGTTCATCGGTTCTTTTTGTAAGCAAAAGACACTGAAGAGAAAGAATAAAAAGGAGAACCTTTTTGAAGTAATTTTGTCTTAATACAAAATAAAATCAGCCGAAGCGAAAAATTCCAACAAATATCACTTCGATTTAGATCAAATTGAAAGAAAAAAACTGTCGATCGAATTAAGTAAAATTCGATCGAACTAAAAGGAAGAAAACAGTTGAAGTTTAGTCAACGAAATTAGTAGGAAAAAGTACACGGTCTTTCGTGGAGTGAAATTAAAAAAAAAAAATCGATAAACTGGAAGGAACACAGCAACACGTGCCCTCCGGGGCAGAGGTGCGAGTAGTCAGTGCGTCAGTAATAGCTCAGCTGCAAGCACAAGGGCTACAGGTCCGTTGAACATATTGTCTTACAACTTAAACTTACGAATTTTGTTTTTATTTTGTGTTTTCACGGCTAAACATTTTTCACACACACACACCAACAATTACACTTACATTATTTTTTATCCCTTTTTTACACACGAAACATTTCTAATCATTATTTTGTTTTTAAAAAAAAATAATTTTACTTGCACCGTTTTTTTTTTTAAATTTGAAATCATTATCTGTGGCTAACTCTGGTTGTATTGTTCGGATCGTATTATTTATGTATGTCGATTAACCACCCGCAGTATCGGTCCACGTGTTTCTTCGCCTCTTTTTAGTTGTATTTGAATTTGATTTACTTTTCAATTAGAGATATCTCTATAGAAAATAGCTTTTCGATTAAAAACCAATCGACTAATTCACGATTACATTTAATCTTCTTCCGTTTTATTTTTCTGTTTTTTTAATTTATTTCAAAGTTCGTGTCATGTGTCAGACCAATGACCACTTAATTTGTTACTCTTTTTCTCTCTCTATCTCCCCGTATATTTTGTGCGTTCTACTTTATTAATTGGTTTCATTTGTCAAATCCATGCCTTTAATCTATGAACCCCTCTCTTTTAGTTTATTTGTTTATCTTCCACCGCTATTTTTTTACTTTATTAGTTTAAATGTTTATTTTTTTTTTTTTTGTAATCTTGTTGCTACTGGATGTACTGGTGATGTGATGTTAGGCACATTAATTATTTTTGGTTTTACTTTCATTGTGTTTTGGTTTTAGTTTCTTTTCTTCTAATTGATATTGGCTCGTTGGAAGTGTATTGAAAATAGAATTCAAAAAAAAACATTCATTTTTCTTCTTGGATCGACGTTTAGCTCGCTTCGAGCGGCTTAGTTCGAAATATCCAATAGAATCTTTATGTTTTGGTCTTAAGTTGTTGGCAAATTTCATTTGAACCAATTTTTGTTTGCACACGATTTTTACTTTTTTTCAAAATGGTTTTTTATCATAATTTTATTTTGTTCTTCTACCAAAGAGACATTTGCTAGTGCGCATCATGATAGGGTGTAAGAAAATCCTAATAGTGTCTAGCAAGTGCCTACAAATCAAGAAAGATATTCCGTTTAACCAAAGAACCAGCAATTTTTGGCTCTCTTCTAAAGAAAAGCCAAAAATTGTCCATTTCCAATTGAAAATGGTTGCTAAAATTCGAATTTTATCTTTCAAGGGCAATGAGCTGAATGCTGCGATAGTGGCTGCTTCACAGCCAAGCAACGGAGTGAGTAAATTTTTGCACAATGCAACGCCTGCTTTCGAATACGATTTACTAAAGTCTTTTTCTTCTTTTTTTGTTTTGTTTGATTAATAGGCTCAACAAAATGCACAGCAAGCCCAGCAAAATCAACAGCAAGCCGCGCAAGTGCAACATCAACAGGCACATTTGCAACAACAGAATGCAACGGCCGGCCAACAGCATCCGCAAGTGATTACATTGCAACAATTGCAAAATTTTTTACCAACCCAACAGATCCAAACAATCACATCGGCCGATGGGCATCAAGTTCAGGTTTCAGCTGCACAAAATGCAACACCCACAACGCCCATCAAGTCGGAACGATTGTTTGTGACGCCACAAATGCAACCGCAAGTGGTTAATTTACAAAATTTACAAGGCATCCCACAGCAATTCATTCAGGTAATTTGTGCGGGCAGGTTTGGAAATGGAATGAACTTAGTTGATTTTCAATCGGATTTGATCTTAATATCTTGATCGAAGGTTTTTTTTTCCAGTTAATCTAACGATCTTGATCCAATTTCTGTCAAAGTGTTGACTTTTGAAAGTGCATTTTGTTGCGGAAGCACCACATTTGAACAGAAATTGATTCAAAAATGAAATGATACAATACTAAAGGCACACAGTAAAGAGAGTAAAACTCTTAAGGAGTGTCGAGAAGTTTCGAAGTGTCTTGCGATATCTCGAGCAGATTAACTGTGATTTTTCATGAAAATTGATTGAAAATCAAATAAAAGTCTGAAGTTTCTGAAGAAAATCTCAATTTTCCTTCATAAAATCAAAAACAATTTAAATAGATTTGATGAATAACACTTGAATTGTGTCTCGCCATATGTTACAGGGTGGTCAAATTCTGCAGAATGCCGGCAACGGAATGTTCCAAGTGGTGCAGCCAATGCAAACGGTGACGGTGGATGGTCAAGAGGCGTTGTTTATACCGAATATGGGTGCATCGGCAAATCAATTGAACGGAGCGCAGCCCATTCAAATTGGCAATCAACAAGCGTTTCTAACGCCCAACGGCCAAATCATTCGACCTGGCGTTATGCCAGCGAATATTCTACAGAACATGGGCCAAACAGTATCTCTGCCAACCGGTAAGTTTTTGCTTTCCGTCTCCGTTTTTCCCTCTCCTTCTCTATCCCTCAAACCAGTTGCTTCACACAAAATCATTCGCATCCTCATTAAATAATTCGAATCCTGTGAATGACAATCACATGCGAAATTTGCTTTTTTTTGTAAATAATTATTTTTTTTTTTTGGATAAGTTTGGAATGGGCTAATCAAGCAAAATTAACCGGGCAAATGACATTTTAGTTGTTTAAGATTCATTCCATAAATAACCAAAAAGAAACTGTGAAAATGATTGCGAAATGTTTTGCTGTACAGTTTGACCACTCACACTAACCATACAACATTTTTGGCTTTTGGTTTTTTTTTTCTCTCTACCGGGGCGGGCGTGCACGACACATTTTTCACCAAAATCAAAATTAATACCGCATTCATATACACAACATTTTGAAAACGATTCGAATTGAAACATGGTGTCCGCATCGAACAGCGTTTGGTCAAGCGACATTGACGATACCCGGCACAAACATATCAATACCATTGGCCAACTCATTGGGAAATCTCACCACGCACAATGCAACGAATGCCGCAGCCGGTCAAACCGGCCAACAACAACAGCAACAAGCGCAACAGAATCAACAGGCAAATCAAACGACAGCCAATGCAACAGCACAAAATCAACAAACACAACAATCGGTAAATTTCAGACAACACACACACACAACACGATTCGCTCGAAATGTCAAAGACTTTTCACTGAAAGGGCCAAAGGAACTGCTTGATGTGAATTTCACCGACATCTCTTGGTGAAATTTCCATCAAGTTATTGCACCTAATGCGAAAAGTATTGACTTTTTGATGCAGAATCAGATACACGCACACACAATTTTAAGTCAGCAAAGAAAAAAAAAAACCTCACGAAAATAACCACACAAAAAACTCTACAGCAACAATCGCAGTCGCATCAAGGCCAAGCCCAACAGCAAAATCAAACACAACAAAACAATCAACAACAAACGCAGGCAAATCAACAGCAGCACACCATCACCATACCCGGCACCAATATTCAAATCCCAACATCGGCCAATGGCCTTATCAATGCAACGAACCTACAGAATATCAAAGTCGAAGGAGCAGGTAATGAGCCCATTTCGCGCACATTCTCCATTTTTTGTTAACCAACAAGCACGATCTTATTTTTTTATTTTTATTTTTCATTTGCATTTTTCGTTCAAAATCGTCTTCGTTCATTTATCAAGAATGACATGAATGTTTTTTGATTTTCATTTCAATTTTTTTTTTTTCAATTTGGGAAAGTCATTGGTTCATTTTCTTTTAAGTTCAATTGCATTCATGTGAAGAGATTTTCATTGTGAATATTTTTTTCATTATCATTGATGGTGATTTGAATCGATTTTTCCATTAAAACCAATCATTTGCTCCTTTTTTTCACTAATTTATAAGTGCATTTGCTTTGTACATAAACCATTTTTTATTTTATTCCAATTGGATGGGCATTACTTATCAAAACGCATATGAATTGTGTACGGTTGAGCATTTTTTTACTTGTACAGACTACTTTCTTTTCTTGACACAATCAACAACTGTTTTTAAAAAAATATTATTTTCTTTATTTTTGTCTTTCAATCAATTTCAACTAATAAATTGTTTGCTTCCATTTCAATCAGGTCAAAATGTGCAGATGCGACAAGGCGCTTTGCCGCAAGTGGTTCAATTTCCAGCGATGCAGCAAACAGTGCCGGTGCAAGTGCCAATCTCAACGGGAAACGGACAAACCATCTATCAAACGGTTCATGTTCCTCTTCAAGCATTTGCCGGACAAATGTCAGGCTTAGTTCAACCACAAATGCAAATCTTCCCACAGATCGCACAGGTATATTCAGGAATTTGTTTTTTTTTTTTCTGAAAAATTGTCACCGACATTCCGATCAAGAGTTTTTTTTATTTATTGGAAGATTTTTTGGATGGATTTTTTTATTCATTTGTCTCTTTTTTGTTCAATTCAAAATTAACGTTCAATCTTTCAACAGGTCGCTAACATCATCACTCCAAACGGTCAGATTCAACAAGTACAATTGGCAACACCCATGAATCAACTACAAAGTAAATGCCTTTTGAAAACAAAGCCTTTTTTTCTAAATAACAATGCGTATGAATGGAAGAAAAGTGTTCTTTTTTTTTCTACCCAAAAAATAACGAAATTTATTTGAAACCCATTTAATTTCAGTGCAAGGAATACCTGGTTTACAAACAACTCAAGGGCAACCTGGTCAACAACAGAATGTTGTCATGGTGCAACCATCGCCGAATTTAACATCGGTTACATCGAGTCCTTCAAATGGTACGACGAAAAATATAAATTAATTTGTTTATTGAACTGATATTGATAGTGATTTACACATTGATTTTTAATTTTTTTGAATTGCATTGAATAACAATGGCCACTCTTTTCCTTCTTACAGTTGGCACTTCAAATGCGCTCGTTCAATCAGTACAGAATACTAACGGCATTCAAACGATGGCTAATGCACAGGATTCACAACCGATCACTATCACAAATGCTCAAGGCCAACAAATCACTGTGATACCAACACAGGCGATACAACAAATTCGGCCTGCCAACGCAAACATCATTCAAATGCCAAATATGTCCGGGCTACAAGCGATCCCAGTACAAAATATTCCCGGTCTTGGCAATGTTCAGGTATAGTGCACGATCGATTATTACAACTTTTTTTTTGCATTTTTTTTTTGTCTATGTTCGGCTAAAATTACAAAAAAAACTTACGAAGAACATTATTGAAGTTGTTTTTTTTTGTTTTAAGTCTATTTTAAATATCAATAAATCTAAATAATCATATCTTCTTCAATTGGAACAGGTCATACCAGCGAGTGCATTCAACGGAGGCAATGTCATAACACCGATTCAGGCGACAAGTCTGCAACAAAATCAACAACAGACACAACAAACTAGCCAGCAACAACATCAAGCTGCCCAACAGCAATCTCAAGCTCAGCAAAATCAACAGGTAAATTTTGACGGAAATGCATCTGACTCCAGTCATTTCACGGATCAAAAATTAGAGAATTCAATCAAAATGTTTTCAACGAAGCAAAATAAAACAGAAAACAAAAACCAAAATGAAATCAAAAATTGTTTAAAATAAATTTCAGCAAACGCAGCAAACCGTTCAACAGCATCAGCAAACATCACAAGCACAGCCAATAACGCAAACGATAACATTGACGCCACAAACGGTGCAGCATATCAAGCAGGAGCCGCAAGAGAAATGGATCATAAGCAATGTGACGGCGAACACGTTGACATCACCAACGGTCCAGCCACAGGCAGCCACCGCCGCCGCCGCCGCCGCCTCACCCGTTGCAAATCAAACGGTTACAACGGTGACAACCATTCCACAGACACAAACCACCACCACCACCACGATAAATGTGAATGATGATGGTGTGGTGAAGCCACGCTTAAAACGGGTTGCTTGCACATGCCCAAACTGTACCGAAGGTGAACGCCATGCCGATCGCAAGCGACAGCACATCTGCCACATTCCCGGATGTAACAAAGTCTACGGCAAAACATCACATCTTCGAGCCCATTTGCGCTGGCACACCGGTTAGTAGTTCGTTTGGACAAATCTATTTTACCATTTTCTTCTTATTCCAAGTTTCGAAACCAAAAAAAAAGATCGAAAATTGTGACTTAACTCAATTCTCATTTCAGGCGAACGACCCTTCGCATGCTCATGGGTATTCTGTGGCAAACGTTTCACACGCTCCGATGAACTGCAACGACATCGTCGAACTCACACCGGTGAAAAGCGCTTCCAATGCCCTGAATGCAGTAAAAAGTTTATGCGCAGCGATCACTTGAACAAGCACATTCGCACGCACACCAAGCAAAAGAACATCGTAAGTTAATTGAATGTCGTCCCATTGGCACCAAACAGTTGTAGGCACGAGTAAACCGTTTGGTATTATTTCCAATCATCCAAAAACAATTCGATTCGTTTTCCGTTTGATTTTGAGTTGTTTTTTTCAATTAGTATTGTGTTTGATCGATTTTCGAACAAGAACAAAAAAAAAATCATGATGAAAGAAAAAAAAAGAGAAGACGAACTAAATAAAAACCAAATGCCGTAAAATTTACACACAAACAAACAAACATACACACACACACAACCACAAAAAATTGATTTTCTCGTCCGATCATTTCTTTCGAATTCGCACCCCATGCAGGAAATGAGACAGGCAGAATCAAAAGTTGAGCCAAAAACCGAGCCTTTTGATGAAGGTGATAAAGTGGCGAATGGCAACGGCAACGGCAACGTAGTCGGCGGTCAGCAGCAATCCACACAAAACCAGTTACAATCGCAGGTTGCGACGTCGCAAGCACCATCGAATGCAAGCTTCGTCGATACAAATGGTAACAGCGAAGGTAACGAAATCTTGGTTTTAGTACCTGCATTGAATGCAAACGGATTGACAACCGCAAACATAACCACCGAATATCGTACCGTCGATAATGGTCGTAATTTAGTTGAGCGAAAAACGAAAACAACCACGACCACGACCACCGCGACACCAAATGATCTACAAACTTATGTTACTACACGTAGCAGTAGTAATGTCGATAATAACATAAATCGTAATAGCATTGTGACTGAACAAATTGTTTGGATACCAAAAATTGAGCAACAACAAGAGCATGGCCAACATCAAGCGACAACGTCGGTCGGCAACGTGTGTCAGCCACCGCCTCTGTATAGCCGCATTAAGCAGCTCAATTATTCACAGGTTGAGATAAACACATGATATTCCTAGTACAAAAATCAAAATAGAAAAAAACAAACAAAATGCGTTTATTTAAAAATAACAAAAATCCACTTCAATTTTCAAAAGGAACGAAAAAAAAACAGAAAATCGAAATCAAAAATGCCAAACGACGCAAAATGGTCCGCTAGTTTTTATGTTTCCATCATTTGATTTTTGATTTTCTTCCATTTCATTTACCAATTGATTTGTCAACGTGTTGTTTCCGTTGATTGCGTTTCATCATTCCGTGTTTCTGACGCGAATAAGTCGGCAGCGCTGCCAAGCGTCGATCACCTTGAGCACCACCATGAAATAGCCGCGAAGCTCACTCGAAAGATCTCGTCGCTTTCGGAACAAAACGTTTGAGAATCAACCAAAAACCAAACCGCAAGAGAAATTTTTCTTTCTTTACGACCCCAACCGAGCGTCAACTTTTTTCAGTCAAACAGTCGATACTATCTATGATTTGTTAACATATTCATTTCTTTTGTTATGTTTGCGTGTGTGTCTTTCTTTTATTTTCGTCGGAGCGAATTTTTTTTTTTTTGGGAGAGAAGAGAGAAAAAGAAATTATGGCAATACAATATCTCAATGAAGCGCTTCCTTTCATTCTGTTTTTGGCTAGAAATCAATTTTTATTAAATTTTTTTGTGATGTTTTTCTTCTCAAACCACATTTTTTAACCACTTTTCTCTGTATTTTTGTTCGTGATTCACAGGAAGCAGCAACATCAACACAATCACCATCATCGGACAGCAATGACAGTTGCGATGACGAAAAAATGATTTTAACCATTGCGGCTGAAGATGGCAACGATAATTCCAACTAGCATACGGATTGGTCCCATCAATTGGGTACCATCGGAACACGACTGTCATTCGGACAATTTTAAAATGAGATGAGCAGAGACAGGGATCGTTCATTTTGAACGGAAAAAAGTCAGCGATTTTAGAACAAAGTGGTTTTCTCTACAGAAAAATCATCAATTTTGAAGAATAATCATTTTTGAAGATTATAATCTTCATTTTTAAAGAAAAACTTCCTTCTACGGAAGGAAAAACACCTTTTTTAAGAGAAAAAAGAGATTTCCACGATGTTTTAACCATTTTAATTTAAACAAGTTTTACTGCATTAGTCAGTCCACTTTGGTTTTCTTCGCAAGAAAAGGCAAATAATTGTGTAAATAGTTCCCAATGTTAAGAGGCTAGTTTAAATTGATTTAAGAATCTTTGTTAATAAACGAAAAGAAAGGTCACACTCTCGTAGGTATACTAGTAGTAATTGTAGTAAAAAAAAAAATGGATTCTGCATTATGAGAGAATTTCGGTTGAAAATGGTCCATTTGATAACAAGTGTTTCGTTTGTTCATTGAATAAGTAGGCAAAATGTGTCTGTCGGCATGATCTGGGTGTCTGGGCAATACTGGTCAAGTAATTTAAAGGTGAATATGTCGTTTTTTACAAGTTTTTTCTGTAGAAAAATGTGACTCTTTTAAGAGATCCCTTTGTGTAACTTTATGAAGAATTCTCTTTAAAAAGCTAGGAAGAATAAAAATGTCCAGACACAAGCAGCGATTAGATAGACATTTAAGTTAATAAGCCCACAAACACACACACACATATCGCCCATACAATTTGTACAAAGTAACATCCAATTAATCATCATCGCCGCCGCCGCTCTTTTAACCTAGACTAGTGTTTCTCATCTATTTTCATTTTCATGCATCGAAATTTGTATATGTACTTTTAGACATTTCACCCCCACACACACACACACACACACACAAAGGATGAAATATGAATCAAAAACCGGCGACACTGTCGATCGATGACACAATTCAAAATTTGCCTAATGTTATAATTTACACACACTTTAAGTAACGAAACTGAAACAGAAAATCATACATTTTATGTAAATCAAAATTTAATCGGTTTAGCTTAAATTATTGTAATAACTAGACAAGAGATTATGTAAGTTATTTGCTAATTGTTAGATTTCGGGCGATTTTTTTTTTATGATCGCTCATACCTCGTGCATCTTTGACATTTTTGGCAAAAGCAAGGAGATCTAATTTAACCTAATTTGGTTACAGTTTTTTTTAAATGGGAAGAATGAAGGACGGAGAAATTCGAATCGATGAATAAAGGAATCTAAATGGAAAAAAAAAACGATTGAGGTTTAAATCAAAAATAAAAATTTGATCAATTTGGTTTTTTCATAAAAACACCATTCTAAATTAGGTTGAACAAAACAATTCATTTTTATCTCCAAAATTCTTAGATCTTGAATCGAATATTTTTCTCTCCTTGATCAAATTTTCCAAATCCAAGCATGTCTCTGCTGAACTGAAACGGTCAAATTTGCAATTTCAATAAGTGTTGCAGTCATAAGCAATTATTATGTTTATTTATCGATCTTTTAATTGAACTCTTGAGTCTCTAGCTTTTATTGCACTTTTGCATATTTTTTTTTTCTTTGTCAAAATGAATAAAACCAATCGACTTTGTCAGTGCTACGTTTTTCGTTTTTGTTTTTATTTTTATTTTGAAGAAAAAAAATCGGAGCAAAGAATATTTTTTCTTTTATTTCCTCTTCGTTTCTGTTTTCTATTGAATTAAAAACGCTTCAAAAAAACGGGATTTTTCTGTTGTTTTTCCGTTTGAAGTCATCATTTTTGTCTGAAGACATTTTTGTCTCTTTATTTTTTTTTTTTCAAAAGTTGAAGATCACCAAGTAACCACCGCCATCAACAACGCAGAAGAATCCATAGACGGAAATAAAGCGTTGTGTAGCAATTTTCGATTGATCCCAAAGAAGAAGAAAATTTAAATCAAAATCGAGAAATTTTATTGTACTCGCACAATATCATGGTTCGTTGCCATTCGTACCATGCACACAGAATTCTTTCTGTGGACAAATTTTAAACCAACAACAACAACAAAAGAAGAAAAAAACGAAAAAACCTTTTTAAATGGTATTTATATAGTGAATATTTGTAAGTAGTAGAACCCATTTCGGTAGGATTTTGAACGTTTTCCAGTGAACAAAGTAAGTGATTGATGCAAAAAAGTAGCGTGTACATACAAATGCTCTTGACGAGTCAGCATTTTGCATTTTTTTAAATAATAACAAACATATTTTAATACAAAAACATTTATCTTAGACCAATTTTTGTGCAAGCTTTTCATTTCTGTTAGAACTGTTTTTTTTTCTCTTCCCCAAAAGTAGATGAAATTATTAGATTAAAATTTCCTTTTATTTTAAATGAAAAAGAAGGAAAAAATGTAAAAGAAAATTCTGTACTTTGGTAACAAATCATCTCGTGACAAAGAAAAAACAAAAAGAACCGAATCAATTTCAGTTTCAGCTTTATTGAAGTAAACAAGAATGTAAGCAAAAAATACACACATTTCGAATAAATTTCTCTTCTTCAAATGTTGTAATTGTATCAAAATGGTGTTTCTTTTTTTTCTCTCTGTTTTGGGCGATTGGGAGATTAGAGTGCCCAAAACCGAACTTAATCGACGATGAGTGAGGCATCACGCGATAAATTTTGCTCCAAATTCCAAGTTCCAAGCCACGCGTTGCGAGCATTCCAGAATTTGGTGGCAGCCGTTGGTGAGTCGTTTGTCCATAGTTTGCTCGCTGAATTGGCATTTGCAATTTATTTTGAAGTAGGGATTTGTTCTAGAATTTCGTTCATTTCAAATCGCTTAAATACTTGTTTCGCATTGAAAGAAGATTGCATTGATACTCTTTCTCGAACCGAAAGAGAAGAAAGAGGTAAGTAGATAAACGGTTGATCGTTCAAAAAGAGTGCAATTTATTAATGGTACCACTAACTGTGTTTAGTCATTTAATGGTGCATTTTTTCAGTTAATGTACAACGCAATACAATGTATGTAGCAATATTCGTGTCTCCCGTACATGTAATGCATTAGCGCACACCGCACACATACATACACGCACGCATCGACGGAAGACACACATACGCGGTGCGATTTTGGTGTTATCGCGAGTGTACGACAACAACATGCACACATAGACACATGTACACACATCACGCGTCTCTAAACATTTGACATACTGAAATTTGTGTACAAATGACAGCAACAACAAACGTATATGGTTATGGCCATAGCTTTTGACGCGGTTGCGAAAATAGTTGCGAACAAAAACATTTTTTTATTTAATTTTTCAGCCATTTCTTGCGGCACCAGAAAAATTGAGAATAGATACGTGCAGAGCTTCGTAGAAAAATTAAAATAAAACAAGGGAAACGATCGGAAAATGGACAGACCGAGCTCCTCAACAAACCCATAGGTAAATCATTTTGCATAATTCGATGCAATGGAACAAAGAACCCATGCCCACATTTCCCAGTGACAGATTCAACAAAAACGTAAACTTTTATACTTTTTAGAATTCTGAATCAAAATTCCTCCACAAAAAGTTCGATTTGATTTTTTTAATTTAAAATTTGCCCAAAATAGTTTCAATCGAGCTGTGGCATACGTTTTAATTGAATTTTTATTTCAATTTTTCATAGCAATAAAAAGAAGTTTATACCGAAATCATATCGTCGATCGAATCTTTCGCCGGATGCAGACGAGTTGCAAATACATGCTGGGCACGAGAGATTAGATTTTGATAGAGATAGCGAGAGCGGTATGTTTTGTCTTGGTTTACCAGTCGTTTGCGGTGAAAATGTGTGAATGCATAAATGTTCCTGGAGAGTATCTGACACTTTTCGATTGTACAAAATGGTGAAAAGAATAGCGATTTTGAAATTTAGCGTAAACTATTTCTTTGGTGAATGCAGTACGACCACGACAGTTATTATCAAATAAAAAAAATCATGGATATAAAATTAAATTGTAAATAGATTTCGCAATTGAACGTAATTTGAAATAGGTAGTCGATATAATTTTAAATATAGATATAAAGTGAGATTTCCACCTAAACTTTAAAATGTTGATATGTTGAGTTGTTGGAACGCTGGCTCGCACGCCATTTCAGAATATCAACTTATACTGGCATCGTTTTGAGCAAATACATTCATTATTCATTTATCTCAGCCGTTCTTTCGCAGAATGATTTTGAAATGATTCAATGGTTTGTGTGCGGAAAAATCACAAATTTTTATACATCAATTGTCATCTCTATTGTAAGGATCAATTTGAGTAATTCCAAAAATCCATAAATTTGATCAACCTGGAAATTGAGTGAATTTTTACTGAACTGAACGATGTAGAAAAGTTCTCAAAACTTAAAAAGTTATCCGGATGAGTCCTTGCTCATTTGAACACAATCCTTGTGATAAAAACAAAAACGTATGAGATCGCTTTTTCTGCGTTCAGCTAATGATCAAAATAGCGCTAACTTCATCTCAAAATAACAACAGTCCATTGTTTACTAGTTATAAAAGTCGGCACTTTGTACACAGTCGTTAGTCGTTAGTCGTACTTGTTTGACGCATCCCATTTTTCGGGCTTGTTACCAAAATTTGATTGAAAGACGAGTCTTGGCAGGATTTGAACTATTGTTAAGCTTCATCGAAACATTTAAAAGTGAAATTGATTGAATTTTGTAATTATTTTCACAGTGAAACTACTCAATCGTTCGGCGAATATACGTTCATAAAGATGTACTATCAAGAAACCGAAGCCAGTGCACCTAAGAGACCAAAATTATCCCAAGAAAATGATCAAAATAATCAACAATTACCCGTTGCTGGTCCATCGAATGAGCAGAC